GATATCTACCCTCTGCTCAAGCAGCTCCAGCCAGGTGGGGAGCTCAGCCTCGTCGCCAAACTCGGTACGCTAGGCGTCGCTCAGACGGGCGAAGCAGCGGGACTGTGTGTGACCAAGCGTCCCGCAAGCCTGACCAGCCCGATCACCTGTTCGAACGACGTACGGGCAGCGAACGGTACTCCGAGACCCTCTACTCTGAGCGTACCACTCACGAAGCTGCTGAGGCGTAATTGTCTCGCACGGACGCCGCTACAGCTGCAGCTGGCCACTGCCAGACGCTCCCGACTGACCAGCTCCAGGGCGACAGCCACGACTGCTACCGGCACAACCCCAACTAGCGTACCACTCACGAAGCTGCTGGGGCGTGAGAGACTCACGCGGACGTCGCTGGAGCTGCATCTGGCCACCGCCAGTAGTAGCAGTAGCAGCAGTAGCAGTAGCAGTAGCCTAGCAGTAGTAACAGAAGTAGCAGCAGTAGCAGCGCGGGCAGGGCAGGCGCGGCAGGCAGACAGACAGGCAGGCAGGCAGGCAGGCAGGCAGGTGGCGCAGCTGCGCGCGAACAAGGCAGGTGCTCACCAGTGGCGGGAAGGGCAGGTAGGCACACGACGGTGGCGACGGCGGGGCCGCAACAGCGGCTGCAAAGTAGGGCCGCGTCAGCTGCAAGGCTGGGACCACGACAGCGGCAGGGCAGGGCTGCGGAAGCTGCTGCAGGGCGGGGCCAAGCAGGGCCGCGTCGGCGTCAAGGCGGGGCCGCGACAGCGACAGGTCGGGGCCGCGTCAGCGGCAGGGCGCGCCGCGACAGCGACCTGGCGGGGCCGCGTCGGCGGCAGGGCGGGGCCGCTACAGCGGCAGGTCGGGGCCGCGTCGGCGGATGTCGGGGCCGCGTCGGCGGCAGGGCGGGGCCGCGGCAGTGGCAGGGCGGGGCCGCGTCAGAGGCAGGGCGGGGCCGCGACAGCGACCTGGCGGGGCCGCGTCAGCAGCAGGTCGAGGCCGCGACAGCGGCAGGGCGGGGCCGCGTCGGCGGCAGGGCGGGGCCGCGACCGCGGCAGAGCGGGGCCGCGTCAGCGGCAGGGCGGGGCCGCGTCAGCGACCTGGCGGGGCGGCGCTCTGGCCTGACGGGCCTGCAGGGGCGGCTCGCGGGCCTGACGGGCCTGCAGGGGCGGCTCGCGGGCCTGACGGGCCTGCAGGGGCGGCGCGCGGACCTTACGAGCCTGCAGGGGCGGCGCGCGGGCCTTACGGGCCTGCAGGGGCGGCGCGCTGGCCTAGAGCAGCAGCAGGCAGCGCGAGGGCTGCAGGACGGCGCGCGCAGCGCAGCACGTCACAAGGAAAGGCAGGCAGGCAGGACAACACGTGGGGTAGCGCGGTAACCGCAACGGTAGGTGGGCCCGAAAAAAAAACGGTCCTACGGACCTAGTGCTCTGATACCATGTCAGAATCTAGCAGCAGGAATGGTTGAACTATGAAAGTATTGGGTACAAATATGAAACCCTAAAAGGGGTTGTACCCCATATTGGCTACCCCACTACAGCCTAAACATATATAACATGCATATATTTTGACAGTGCACCTTTCTTCTCATGCTTGTTCTTTCATATTTGTACCCTTGAGCCTATAGTGAAACCACTTCACTTTGCCTAACCCTCTCGACATTCACCTAGGCTAGGGTTTCTCCTAAGCCTAGGTTCACCTCCTATCTTAACAAGTAAGGGGTCACTCAGATTGAGGGGGGGATGAGGTAGCCCGAGAGAGTAAAGCAAATCAGGCCGTCAGGCAGCCCAAAATTTACTTTGGACCTTGATTAGTTGCAGTGGAAGTTCTAATAACAGTACGATCATCTACAATTCTATATGCAGATAAAAAAACGCCCTACTTCGGAGCTGCGTTTCTGGCTATTTTACACACCTTGGCCATCAAGCCCGATAGTTGTAGCACCGATCAGCAGCAAGCTTGTGGTGCTGTACCTACACACACCAGAGAGTGCCAATTCATCTACTTGGGAGCTGCGTTTGTGGCTATTTTGCAGAGCTTGGCCATCAAGCCCGATAGTTGTAGCACCGACCCCACTCCATCTGCTATCCTCATGTGACAGAACCCTACCTCCTGCAACAAAGAGAGGGCAGGTAGGTACGGGTAGGCATGGAGATAAGATGTGAGGGGTCTCGACTGAACACTTCACGCAAGTCGTAATTCTTGATTATTATGAAGAGCGAAGTCATGATGTCAGAAGCAGTATAGCCCAGAGCATCCAGCCCCTCTGATCTCATGCACCCATCCGTCCGCACCCCTGTGCACCATAGTCACCCCCTGTGCACCATAGTCACCCCCTGTGCACCATAGTCACCCCCTGTGCACCATAGTCACCCCCTGTGCACCATAGTCACCCCCTGTGCACCATAGTCACCCCCTGTGCACCATAGTCACCCCCTGTGCACCATAGTCAACCCCTGTGTACCATAGTCACCCCCTGTGCACCATAGTCACCCCCTGTGCACCATAGTCACCCCCTGTGCACCCACATTTACCTTGCTACTCACCCTTATAAACTCCAGCTTCAGAAACTCTGGCATGTCATAGTTCTTGACTATTCTGAAGAGCGCGGTGATGATGTCATGTCAGAAGCAGCATAGCCCATAGCAAAGATATTTAGCCCCCTCCTACCCCCTGTGCACCCACCTGAACCCCTGTGCACCCATCTACCCACCTTGCACTGGCAAAAGAGAGGCGACTCACTCGTACAAACTCCAGCTTCAGAAACTCTGGCATGTCATAGTTCTTGACTATTCTGAAGAGCGCGGTGATGATGTCATGTCAGAAGCAGCATAGCCCATAGCAAAGATATTTAGCCCCCTCCTACCCCCTGTGCACCCACCTGAACCCCTGTGCACCCATCTACCCACCTTGCACTGGCAAAAGAGAGGCGACTCACTCGTACAAACTCCAGCTTCAGAAACTCTGGCATGTCATAGTTCTTGACTATTCTGAAGAGCGCGGTGATGATGTCATGTCAGAAGCAGCATAGCCCATAGCAAAGATATTTAGCCCCCTCCTACCCCCTGTGCACCCACCTGAACCCCTGTGCACCCATCTACCCACCTTGCACTGGCAAAAGAGAGGCGACTCACTCGTACAAACTCCAGCTTCAGAAACTCTGGCATGTCATAGTTCTTGACTATTCTGAAGAGCGCGGTGATGATGTCATGTCAGAAGCAGCATAGCCCATAGCAAAGATATTTAGCCCCCTCCTACCCCCTGTGCACCCACCTGAACCCCTGTGCACCCATCTACCCACCTTGCACTGGCAAAAGAGAGGCGACTCACTCGTACAAACTCCAGCTTCAGCTCTCTGCTCGACCTCACATGAACCTCCTTTGAATTCATTGCCACTCTCTTGCTCTCCTCCCCTCTCCCCCGCCCCTCCTCCTCCCTTTCCCAGTCCCCAACAGGCCAGACCGTGTTCACCAACCTCCTCAGCTCTCTGCTCGACCTCACATGAACCTCCTTTGAATTCATTGCCACTCTCTTGCTCTCCTCCCCTCTCTCCCGCCCCTCCTCCCCCCTTTCCCAGTCCCCAACAGGCCAGACCGTGTTCACCAACCTCCTCAGCTCTCTGCTCGACCTCACATGAACCTCCTTTGAATTCATTGCCACTCTCTTGCTCTCCTCCCCTCTCTCCCGCCCCTCCTCCCCCCTTTCCCAGTCCCCAACAGGCCAGACCGTGTTCACCAACCTCCTCAGCTCTCTGCTCGACCTCACATGAACCTCCTTTGAATTCATTGCCACTCTCTTGCTCTCCTCCCCTCTCTCCCGCCCCTCCTCCCCCCTTTCCCAGTCCCCAACAGGCCAGACCGTGTTCACCAACCTCCTCAGCTCTCTGCTCGACCTCACATGAACCTCCTTTGAATTCATTGCCACTCTCTTGCTCTCCTCCCCTCTCTCCCGCCCCTCCTCCCCCCTTTCCCAGTCCCCAACAGGCCAGACCGTGTTCACCAACCTCCTCAGCTCTCTGCTAGATCTCACAGAATCTTCCTTCGGTTTCATCGCCTCCCTCTGCATCTTGTCTCATATGTTCCTCCTTTCCTCCTCTCCTCATCCCCTCCTCCCCTTCTCACCCACTTTCCCAGTCCCCAACAGGCCATACCGTGTTCACCAACCTCCTCAGCTCCCTGCTAGATCTCACAGAATCATCTTTCGGATTCATCGCTTCCCCCTGCCTCACACCTAAGAGCTCCACATTAGCTCGCACTCTTCCCCACCTCATGCCTGACAATGGGCCTGCACTGGCTATCAACCAACCTCAAAGCCCCACACTCGCACTTAACCCACCTCCAAACCCATCCGGAAGCCTTATACTGGCACTTAACCGGTCTCAGAACCCAGAACCCACAACCCAGAACCCACCGCAAGGCTTCACGCTCGCACTTAAATCCCACGCCGTCTCCAACATAGGCTGGACGGATGAGCTGCACGGAACTTTCCTGGACGCTTCCTCTTCAACCGGGCTTTTGCTCTCCCCCCTGGATCCCACGGGTCTCTTTGGCCGGGCGGCGGTGGGAGGGGAGGCTGCTTGGAGGAACAATGCCGTGCCGCCTGCTGCTCTCCCCAAGGGCCATCCCAAGCTCTCCTCCGCTCTCTGCGTCCCATTGACCTGTGGTGAGTCTTTGTGCAATGTGGGTGACGGTGTGGAAAGGGGAGGCTGCTTGGAGGAACAATGCCGTGCCGCCTGCTGCTCTCCCCAAGGGCCATCCGAAACTCTCCTCTGCCCTCTGCGTCTTCTTAACCTGTGGTGAGTGAGTGAGTGTCAAAGCGGGTAACTTGTGAGTCAATGCAAAAGTCGCGTGCTGCTCTGCCCAAGGGCCATCCCAAGCTCTCCTCTACTCTCTGCACGCCCTTAAAATGTGGTGAGTTGCTTGTTCCTGAGGGCTTGTCGCCTCTCCCTCAACGGTTTCCCTCTGGATCCCACGGGCTTCTTTGGGAAGCCGCGGTGAGAGGGGGCCGGTGTGATGGTTGGTAACCGTGTTTACGGTTACGAGTCTCTGGTGCTGGCAGTGCAGCCTGTGGCCACCACTGCTGCCAGGGCCTCCCTTTCCCCCACCCTCTTCCCCCCCCCGCCCAGCCTGAGACGTCACACCCGCTACAACCACCCTCTTAACTCCCTGACACCCCCTTCCCTCCTTCCCCCCTCTTCTTCCCTTGCACAGGCCCCTGAATCGTTGGTGTTGCAATGGTTGGTAACCGCATCGGCGGTTACAACCAGTCGCTGGTGCGGGCGGTGCAGCCTGTGACCACCACTGCTGCTACAACCACCCTACTCCCATCCCTTTTTTCCCCGCTGTCTTTCCTTCACAGGCCCCTGTATCGTCGGTGTTGCCGTGGTTGGTAACCGCATCGGCGGTTACAACCAATCCTTGGTACAGGCGGTGCAGCCTGTGACCAGCACTGCTGCTACCTGCCTGTTCGGGCTGCACTGGCGGGCTGCAGGGGGGAGAAGACTGAGGAAGAAGATGGCTTCAATTGCTGAGGTGAGTGAAACAGAGGAAGGTACATGTCTCTGGCTGTGCCTGTGCAAGCGTGAGTGGGGTGCAAGGAGTGTGACCACCACTGCTGCTGCCCGCTTGTTTGGGAGGAGGGCTGCACTGGAGGGCTGCACTGGACGGCTGCACTGGACGGCTGCACTGGACGGCTGCACTGGAGGGCTGCTGGGGGGAGGAGGCTGAGAAAGAAGATGGATACTCCTGCAGTCGTGTTTTGAGTCGACTCTAAACACGAATCATTACTGTTTGGGAGGAGGGCTGCACTGCAGGGCTGCTGGGGGAAGGAGGCTGAAAGAAGATGGACGCTCCTGCCGGAGCCATGTCCTCCCTGCTTCCGCCTTTGCCCTCTTTCCTCCCTGTCTCTCATCCCTCTCTTCCCTTCCTGTCTCTCATCCCTCTCTTCCCTTCCTGTCTCTCCCATGTCTATCTCTCCTCACAGGTTGACTTTTGAGTCGACTCAAAAGTCAACTCTCTCCCATGTCTATCTCTCCTCACAGGTTGGCCGAATCCGCATCAGTGCATCTGGGCGCATTGCTGGTACGGACGCCCCTGCACGAGGTTGATTTTGAGAATTCTCAAAATCAACCTCAAACAAAATGCACGAGCCATGTTCTCCCTGCTGCCACCCCATGCATTCATCCCACACACCCTTGCGCTCACTCCACTCATGTGCTCACAGGTTGGCCGAATCCACATCAGTTTATCTGGCCGCATTTCTGGTATGGACGCCCCTGCACGAGCCATGTTCTCCCTGCTGCCGCCGCTGCAGCAGTTGCAGAAGCGGACGAAGAGAGACGAGGGACAGGGGGGTGAGGCAGTGAAAGGGGGAGAGGAGGGGACGGAGAGAGATAAGGGGAAGGAGAGAGAGGAGGAGGAGGAAGGGAAGGAGGGTTTTGGGCGTTCACATGGGTGTGGAAAATTGGTTGCAGCAGAGGGAGTAGAGAGAGCAGAGGTGGAAGAGGGAGCAGAGGGAACAGAAGGAGCAGAGGCAACCAAGGGACAGAAGTATTGGTGCCAACCACAGAATCTGCAGCACTCGCACAGTACAGGATCACATTGTAACGAGTCGCACGGGCAGCAGTCTCACGCGCCTGCATCTCTCGGGCAGGAACAACAAAAAGAGCATAGCTGTAGGGTGACTACCAACACTACCCCACATTCTAAACCTTGCCGTCGGAACTACCCTCCAACACCCATCCTCCTTAAAGACCTCTTCAGTAGAGTAGGTAAGACAGCAGGGGCGGATCTCACTCGTACAGTACTGCAGCAGTTGCTGAGAAAAGGAGGGCAGAGGGCAGTGGGTGTGCAGAGAGGGGGAGGACAGATACTGCTGTATTTGGAACTGGAGGGAGGAGGAGAGGAGGGAGACGGGGAGGCTGTGGGTGAGAGGGAGGAGGAGGAAGAGGAGCAGGGGCAGCGAGAGGGGGAGGTGGAGGAGGAGAGGAAGGGGGAGGGGAGAAGACAGGAGGAGAGTGAGACGGTCGCCGGGGGAAACACGGAGGTTGGGGAAGAGGATCAGGCTGAGGTTCGGGCCAAGGCTCGGGCCGAGGCTCAGGTTGAGACTGGGCCCAAGGGTGAGGGTGATTGGCGGAGGAGACTGATGGCTAACTCGTGGGCAGAGCTGTGGGTTGGACCTCGAGTCAAGCGAAGTTTGAGTAGTACAACAACAGAAGAAGCAGTGGCAGGGGCAGGAGCAGCATTGACAGCAGGGGCAGGGGCAGCAGTGGGGACAGCAGGAGGGGGGGAGAAAGCACTCCCTGCTGCAGATTCGTCTACAATACTGCAGTGTAACAGTCATACAAGCTCTGAGGGACATGATCTGAGCAATTGCAGCAGCCATGAGCAAATGGCAGCAGCTGGCAAACCTGATGTGGTGATAAGCAGCAAGAGTGAATCGTTTGATTGCAAGACTACCAGCAACAGCAGCGGCGGCAACCGCAGCGGTGTCGGCGGCAGCAGTACTCGCCCGCTTAGGAAATCAACCACCATGTGTACAGTGCGAGTAAGCCTGCTGGCGAAGCAGCCAGGCACTCCTATAGATTTTTGTATTTAATGCACATTTTCGTGTCAATAAAAGCAGCACCACGTGACAGGCTTTGAAACCAAGCATGTGTACAGTGCAAGTAAGCCTGCTGGGGAAGCAGTCAGGCACGCCTACAGATAATTGTATTCAATGCGCATTCTTATGTCAAAAGAAGCAGCAACAAGTGCAATTCTCACACCAAGGAAAGAAGCATCTGCGTGGTACTAAGCATGCTGCATAATGCTCTATCCGCGCTTTTGGATTGACTAATATAACTTTCTTGCAGTGGAGAGAGAGAATTGAATACACAAAACTGCTCAATAAGCAGATACACAACTGAAGGGTTACTGGTGCCTAGAAACACCAGAGCCAGCGCCCATAATAACACTAGCAAGGTTAGAAGTTAGAAGGAACCCAAGGCAAGCCGCTCCCCCTTCTTCCCCCCAACGCTTCAAGCGGGGGAGGAGGGGGGAAGGGGTGAAGGGGGCGTGCAATGACCGTATGAAGTGTGTGCTGCTAGCGAGCTGGTGGCGGGAAGAACATAGTAAACTGCATAGGGACCGAAATCGGGGGGAGGGTTGCGGGGTGGGAGAGGAAAGGTGGGGGAATGTCAGGGCGTGTCAGGGAGTGGAAAGTGTGGAGAGAGGCTATGTGCGTTGAGATGAATGGTCCCTTCACCCCATATCTGTAGAAATGAATGGACAGACGAGAATCAGGCTATGTGCGTTGAGGTTCTTTGAGGCATCTCAGAAAACACATCTATGGATAAAACCATGCATAGTTCTTCGTAACCATGCCCCGTTTTCACTCACATCCTCATCTTCGTCCTCCGCCCTGCTGACAATGAGTCTTTTGCCAATGAAGTTCATTGCCGTGAAGCCCACCCACCCACACACCTTGAAGTTCATTGCTACGAAGCCACACCTCCAATACCCATCTCCCATCCATGCACTATGCGCACATGCTGCATCATACTCACATCCTCATCTTCGTCCTCCACGCCGCTGAGAATGAGCCTATCCGCGTTGAAGTTCATGGCAACGAATCCCACACCCGCCACACCTGCAATACCCGTCTCCCATGCATATATACACACACGCACACCGCGCACCACACATGTTACTTACTCACATCCTCATCCTCGTCCTCCACCCCGCTGAGAATGAGCCTATCCGCTTTGAAGTTCATTGCTACGAAGCCCACCCACAACACTCCCCATTTCCCATGCATACATGCACACTGCACTGCACACCACACATGCTGCATCATACTCACATCGTCATCCTCGTCCTCCACCCCTGCAAGAGTGAGCCTATCTGCGTTGAAGTTCATGGCTACGAAGCCCACCCAAGCAAAACCCACCCCCCATGCATGCATACATCCGTGCACACTGCACACACCATGCATACACATGTTACTCACATCCTCATCCTCGTCCTCCACTCCTGCAAGAATGAGTCTATCCGCATTGAAGTTCATTGCCACGAAGCCCACCCACAGCACTCCCGAGCACAGCATGATGAGCCCCATGCCCGCAAACAGCCCCACCTGAGAGGGGAGGATGTAGGGGAAGAGGGGAGGGGGAGGGGGATGAGAGAGAAGGGGTGAGGGATGAAGGGACGAGCACAGCATTATGAGTGACATGCCTGCAAACAGCCCCACCTGAAAGAATGGGGGAGGAGGGGATGGGGGATGAGCGGACAGGTTTGAAGGAAGTGAAAAGATTGAGCGGATTGGTGGATGGGTGGGAGTGAGGGCATGAAGGGATGATGGGAATGGGAGAATGTGTTGCTGCCAAATGGGGCATGACCTGTAGCACACTCCCCCAACCGCGTTGGGGGCAGAGGCTATTTGTGAGAATTTCTGGAGATAGCGCTTTTGAGGAGCCTCAAAATGATGATCTCCAAAAGGACTCATTTAGAGGATGATAGAAGTGTGTTCGCTCACAAGAGATGGATGAGCTGCTAATAGACGAGGTATGAGCTGTAGCACACGGGCAAAGATGAAACACTAACAATTTGGTAAACACTACTAGGGAAACTCTGGATTGGAAACTCTATATGGGGTACAGTCACAAGGGACACACTCACAGGGGACTACTGAGGGAACACTCACCGGAACTGCCCCGCTGCCTGTTGACTGCTCCCAGACTAGATAAGAGCTGTAGCACACGGGCACGAGCGTGAAGCACCTGGGGTGAGGTGGGATGGGTTGGGGTGAGGTGGAGTGGGGTTGGGTGAGGTGCGGTGGGGTGGAGTGGGGTGGGGTGGGTCGCTGGTGTAAACACCTTGCTCATCGAGGCGTATGCCACGTGGCGTGGAGTGGTGCAGTGTGGGGGCCAGAGAGTTTTCACAATCATAGGCGATTGATTGCATGAAGCCTACCATGCCAGGCTGTACCAGACGGACACCCCCCATCGGTGGTGCTTCACAAACGCCTTGCTCATCGATAGATACGCCGTGTGGTGTGGTGGTGCAGTCTGGTGTGGGGTGGTGCGGTGTGGTTGGTTGGGGCCCAAAGACTTACCATGCTAGGCAGTACCAGACGGATACCCCCCACCGGTGGTGCTTCACAAACGCCTTGCTCATCGACAGATACGCCGTGTGGGGCCCGCGAACGGCCACCTGGGCGAAGCACGTTGAGAGGAAGCAGCAGAAGATGGCGGCAATCCCAAGGCCCACTGTTGGACCCACTGGTGCAAAGTGGTGCGATGTGCTGCAGGCCGATCCGACACTACAGCATGCCAGGCCAAGCTGCTTACCATGCGAGGCAGTACCAGACGGATACCCCCCACCGGTGGTGCTTCACAAACGCCTTGCTCATCGATAGGTATGCCGTGTGGGGTCCTCGAACGGCCACCTGGGCGAAGAACGCTGAGAGGAAGCAGCAGACGATGGCGGCAATCCCAAGGCCCACTGTCGGACCCGGTGAAACGCCGCAGGCAGCAGGCGCGGAGGTGCAGTCCTCTGGTATTTGGGGCTGGGAGGGGGAGAGACAAAGGAAGGGGAGATAGATAAACGGGAGGAGGAGCCTATATATGAGGTGCCTCAAAAGCAGATGGCGGCAATCCCAAGGCCCACTGTTGGACCCGGGGAAACGCCGCAGGCGGCTGGTGTGGAGGTGCAGTCCTCTGGTATTTGGGGCTGGGAGGGGGGAACCATGGGAAGGGGAGATACACGGGAGGGGGGGCCTGCATTTATGGTACCTCAGAAGCAGCAGAAGATGGCGGCAATCCCAAGGCCCACTGTGGGACCGGGGGAAACGCCGCAGGCAGCAGGTGTGGAGGTGCAGTACTCTGGTATTTGGGGCTGGGAGAGGGAGAGAGAAAGGGGAAATACAGGGGAGGGAGCGATACAGGGGAATGGGGTGGCTTTAGAAGCGATCTCAAGGCCCGCTGTTGGACCCGGGGGGATGGCACAGGCAGCAGGCGTGGAGGTGCCGTCCTCTGATATTTGGGGCTGGGAGGGGGAGAGGGGGGGATATGAGAGGGGAAGATACACAGTAACGGGTTGGTTATTAGTTGAGTCAAAGAACGCCTGAGGAGAAATGGCGCAGGCGGCAGGCGTGGAGGTGCAGTCCTCTGGTCTGGTGTATGCGGTTGGGAGGGAGAGAGGGGAGACACGGTAAGGGGGGTGCTCGTAAAAATGGACTCAGATTACAACTGGGTAGAGGTGGGCATCAGCAGTGGGGGACAGTGGGTACTAATAGCGGTAGCATCCGTTATAAGAACACTCACCTTGGTGTGCTCGGCCACCATCATAAGAACGTATGCTGCAAATGCTGTACCCGATACCACCACCGACCCGATGATTGTTTCCAACTGACCCATGGCGACCAACTCTTGTTACACTGTAACGCGGTTACATGTAGTGATGGCTCCAAACCAAAAATAATATATACTCTAATCTCGCTAGCACTGAAGACTTTTTCACCCGCTTCTTGCTGTCGTATTCTAGCCTAGTTGACGGTCATAGCGTAATTGACTGAATTACTGCAAGGTAAGAGCTTACTCGACATAATTTACTGCCAATAATGAAGTTCCGTATATCGGAAAAGAAAATAAGAACCAAGCGCATCGCTGTGCTAAGCTTTACAGCTTAACTACGATAGGTGCGGTGACTGCTGGCATTGCCATGATGCGGTATGGGGATTAAAAGCTATTCGGCCAAGCAAGCGTGAAAGCTGCTGGCCGTGATGAAGCAAGCACGCCTCAAAATGTCACATCGACAACGAGCGAGGGAGAGACACGTGGCTGGTAAATATCCTTCCTTGTCTCTCCTTTCGTGGACTCCGTTCACCTAAGCCAATCGACTGTGGTAGCCACGCAGCCCAGAAGGAATTCCCGGCTTTTCGTTCGACCCTGTCTTTATACGAGATAGAGAATCGCTTAGAGACGAGGACGTCTATAAATTAGAAGCGCGACGGTCTGATGGGAGGGAGTTTAGCGCACGCGCAACGAACCCATGCAGCGCAGGCTGTAAGACATAGACCTGAAGAGTTACCGAGTTAGCAAGTTCATTCGGTCTTGTCACACTGTCGAAGAGGAGGTGAGGGGAGGGAGAGGGGTGCGAAGAACAGTGTGGGGGATTGACAGGAGTACTGTGCTTCGGCTCGCTAAGAAACTGTTCCCAAGGGAGTACATTTTGGCGGGAAGGGAAAATTGAGGCGTGAACGGGAATAACTTGAACAGCTCGATGTTTAACTGATATAGGTACAGTCTACACTGATCATGTAATGCAGCATTATGCAAATAGCGATCTTGACCAAGTTAGAAGCCGCAACTTGATGCTGAAAATTGCCTGATGCGACGATCTGAGAGAACGTATCGCCGTCAACGACGCTGCTTTGGCTCCTAAGTAGTTTCTATCGACCCCTCGCGTTAATTAATACCTCGTAGATTCCCAGAATTCGTCCGCCGTTTCAGCCCACATCAGGAATTTTTGTAAGCACTGCAGCACTCGTGGTCCATTGGTAGCCAACACGGGTCCCTCCCAAGCCACCACGTGGCAGAGCCTGAATGGCTGCTGCCGCGGAGGCAGCCGTCGCAGGCAGCAGCAGACCCGGAGGTAGCAGCGCTGCGGAACCCGCGAATCTTGCCGGGAAATCCGGGCGGTCGGAGCGCGATCGCGTGTACGACATTCCCTGGGTGGAGAAGTACCGGCCGCAGCGCGTGGAGGACATAGTGGGCAATGAAGACGCGGTTTCGAGACTCTGCGTGATCGCACGAGATGGCAACATGCCGAATCTAATCTTCGCAGTATGTAAGGGCACTATTATGCAAAAACGCGTTGTTTGTTTTCCTCTTTCTTTCTTCACCCTCCACTCGAAGTTTACTGGCTTGACTCTAGGTGTTAGCGCGTCGAACAACAGAGCTGTCAACTCAAAATGCTTTCCTCTCAGGGTCCCCCAGGCATATGCACTGCTGGGCCCCAGCTACTGCGACTCAGTCCTGGAGCTGAACGCGTCTGTCACCTCCACCTCCACTCCCCCTTCCTCCCTCTTTTTACCTCCTCATCTTCTCAATCCCGCAAGGTCCCCCGGGCCGGGCACTGGGAATGCAACCAGTGTGTTGGCCCTAGCGCACGCACTGCTGGGCACCAGCGACCGCGGCGCTGTGTTGGAGCTGAACGCGTCTGCCACCCTCACCTCACTCCTGTTGCCCCCCCTGTGCCTCCTCACTCCCCGTCTAGGGTTTCCTTCTCAGGGTCCTCCAGGCACGGGCACGACGACCAGTGTGCTAGCCCTAGCGCACGCACTGCTGGGTCCCAGCTACCGAGACGCTGTGTTGGAGCTGAACGCGTCTGGCGCTCTCACTCCATCCCCCCCTTGTTCCCTCATCCCTCAGGGCCCTCCTGGGACGGGCAAGACAACAAGTGTGCTAGCCCTTGCGCACGCACTGCTGGGTCCCAGCTACCGAGACGCTGTGTTGGAGCTGAACGCGTCTGGCGCTCTCACTCCATCCCCCCCTTGTTCCCTCATCCCTCAGGGCCCTCCTGGGACGGGCAAGACAACAAGTGTGCTAGCCCTAGCGCACGCACTGCTGGGTCCCAGCTACCGAGATGCAGTTCTCGAGCTGAACGCGTCTGACGACCGAGGGATTGACGTGGTTCGCAACAAGATCAAGATGTTCGCCCAGAAGAAAGTCACTCTGCTTGGCCCCCCTGCTCTCCTGCTCCCCTGCCCCCCTGCTCCCTCCCTTGCCCCCCACCCCCCCTTTGCTCCTCTGCTCCCCTGCTTCCACATCCCCCAGGGTCCGCCAGGCACTGGGAAAACCACGAGTGTATTGGCATTAGCACACGCACTGCTGGGTCCCAGCTACCGAGACGCAGTCTTGGAGCTGAACGCGTCTGACGATCGAGGGATTGACGTGGTTCGCAACAAGATCAAGATGTTCGCCCAGAAGAAAGTCACTCTGCCTTACCCCCTGCTCCCCTGCGCTCCCTCCATTGCCCCCCTCCCCCTGCTCCCCTGCTCACCTGCTCCCTCATATCTCCAGGGTCCCCCGGGCACTGGGAAAACCACAAGTGTGTTGGCTCTGGCACACGCTCTCCTAGGTCCCAGCTACCGAGACGCAGTCTTAGAGCTGAACGCGTCTGACGACCGAGGGATTGATGTGGTTCGCAACAAGATCAAGATGTTCGCCCAGAAGAAGGTCACTCTGCCGCCCGGGCGGCACAAGGTTATTCTCTTGGACGAGGCGGACAGGTGGGGCTGAGATTTGTAGTAGCATCTAGCTCCCTTTCCCCTCCTGTCCTCCCCTAAATCCCCCCCTTCATCTTTTTATTTTTCTTGAATTTTCTTGAATTTTGCAGTTTGACTCATACCTCCATCCCCCTCCCCTCCCCTCCTCACCACCCCATGCCAGCATGACAGCAGGGGCGCAGCAGGCCCTGAGGCGAACCATGGAGATCTACTCTTCCACCACTTGCTTCGCCTCGCATGCAACGATTTGACTCCCCCCTCTTCCCCCCTCCCCCCTCCCCTCCCCCCCCCTTCTCTTCAACATGCCAGCATGACAGCAGGGGCACAGCAGGCCTTGAGACGAACCATGGAGATCTACTCCTCCACCACTTGCTTCGCCTCGCATGCAACGATTTGACTCCCCCCTCTTCCCCCCTCCCCCCTCCCCTCCCCCCCCCTTCTCTTCAACATGCCAGCATGACAGCAGGGGCACAGCAGGCCTTGAGACGAACCATGGAGATCTACTCCTCCACCACTTGCTTCGCCTCGCATGCAACGATTTGACTCCCCCCTCTTCCCCCCTCCCCCCTCCCCTCCCCCCCCCTTCTCTTCAACATGCCAGCATGACAGCAGGGGCACAGCAGGCCTTGAGACGAACCATGGAGATCTACTCCTCCACCACTTGCTTCGCCTCGCATGCAACGATTTGACTCCCCCCTCTTCCCCCCTCCCCCCTCCCCTCCCCCCCCCTTCTCTTCAACATGCCAGCATGACAGCAGGGGCACAGCAGGCCTTGAGACGAACCATGGAGATCTACTCCTCCACCACTTGCTTCGCCTCGCATGCAACGTGACAGTGTCGCATGCAACGTGACAGTGTCGCATGCACCGTGACAGTGTCGCATGCAACGTGACAGTGTCGCATGCAACGTGACAGTGTCGCATGCAACGTGACAGTGTCGCATGCAACGTGACAGTGTCGCATGCAACGTGACAGTGTCGCATGCAACGTGACAGTGTCGCATGCAACGTGACAGTGTCGCATGCAACGTGACAGTGTCGCATGCAACGTGACAGTGTCGCATGCAACGTGACAGTGTCGCATGCAACGTGACAGTGTCGCATGCAACGTGACAGTGTCGCATGCAACGTGACAGTGTCGCATGCAACGTGACAGTGTCGCATGCAACGTGACAGTGTCGCATGCAACGTGACAGTGTCGCATGCAACGTGACAGTGTCGCATGCAACGTGACAGTGTCGCATGCAACGTGACAGTGTCGCATGCAACGTGACAGTGTCGCATGCAACGTGACAGTGTCGCATGCAACGTGACAGTGTCGCATGCAACGTGACAGTGTCGCATGCAACGTGAACCCCAATGCGACAGTGTCGCATGCAACGTGACAGTGTCGCATGCAACGTGACAGTGTCGCATGCAACGTGACAGTGTCGCATGCAACGTGACAGTGTCGCATGCAACGTGACAGTGTCGCATGCAACGTGACAGTGTCGCATGCAACGTGACAGTGTCGCATGCAACGTGACAGTGTCGCATGCAACGTGACAGTGTCGCATGCAACGTGACCCCAGTGTCGCATGCAACGTGACAGTGTCGCATGCAACGTGACAGTGTCGCATGCAACGTGACAGTGTCGCATGCAACGTGACAGTGTCGCATGCAACGTGACAGTGTCGCATGCAACGTGACAGTGTCGCATGCAACGTGACAGTGTCGCATGCAACGTGACAGTGTCGCATGCAACGTGACAGTGTCGCATGCAACGTGACAGTGTCGCATGCAACGTGACAGTGTCGCATGCAACGTGACAGTGTCGCATGCAACGTGACAGTGTCGCATGCAACGTGACAGTGTCGCATGCAACGTGACAGTGTCGCATGCAACGTGACAGTGTCGCATGCAACGTGACAGTGTCGCATGCAACGTGACAGTGTCGCATGCAACGTGACAGTGTCGCATGCAACGTGACAGTGTCGCATGCAACGTGACAGTGTCGCATGCAACGTGACAGTGTCGCATGCAACGTGACAGTGTCGCATGCAACGTGACAGTGTCGCATGCAACGTGACAGTGTCGCATGCAACGTGACAGTGTCGCATGCAACGTGACAGTGTCGCATGCAACGTGACAGTGTCGCATGCAACGTGACAGTGTCGCATGCAACGTGACAGTGTCGCATGCAACGTGACAGTGTCGCATGCAACGTGACAGTGTCGCATGCAACGTGACAGTGTCGCATGCAACGTGACAGTGTCGCATGCAACGTGACAGTGTCGCATGCAACGTGACAGTGTCGCATGCAACGTGACAGTGTCGCATGCAACGTGACAGTGTCGCATGCAACGTGACAGTGTCGCATGCAACGTGACAGTGTCGCATGCAACGTGACAGTGTCGCATGCAACGTGACAGTGTCGCATGCAACGTGACAGTGTCGCATGCAACGTGACAGTGTCGCATGCAACGTGACAGTGTCGCATGCAACGTGACAGTGTCGCATGCAACGTGACAGTGTCGCATGCAACGTGACAGTGTCGCATGCAACGTGACAGTGTCGCATGCAACGTGACAGTGTCGCATGCAACGTGACAGTGTCGCATGCAACGTGACAGTGTCGCATGCAACGTGACAGTGTCGCATGCAACGTGACAGTGTCGCATGCAACGTGACAGTGTCGCATGCAACGTGACAGTGTCGCATGCAACGTGACAGTGTCGCATGCAACGTGACAGTGTCGCATGCAACGTGACAGTGTCGCATGCAACGTGACAGTGTCGCATGCAACGTGACAGTGTCGCATGCAACGTGACAGTGTCGCATGCAACGTGACAGTGTCGCATGCAACGTGACAGTGTCGCATGCAACGTGACAGTGTCGCATGCAACGTGACAGTGTCGCATGCAACGTGACAGTGTCGCATGCAACGTGACAGTGTCGCATGCAACGTGACAGTGTCGCATGCAACGTGACAGTGTCGCATGCAACGTGACAGTGTCGCATGCAACGTGACAGTGTCGCATGCAACGTGACAGTGTCGCATGCAACGTGACAGTGTCGCATGCAACGTGACAGTGTCGCATGCAACGTGACAGTGTCGCATGCAACGTGACAGTGTCGCATGCAACGTGACAGTGTCGCATGCAACGTGACAGTGTCGCATGCAACGTGACAGTGTCGCATGCAACGTGACAGTGTCGCATGCAACGTGACAGTGTCCGCATGCAACGTGACAGTGTCGCATGCAACGTGACAGTGTCGCATGCAACGTGACAGTGTCGCATGCAACGTGACAGTGTCGCATGCAACGTGACAGTGTCGCATGCAACGTGACAGTGTCGCATGCAACGTGACAGTGTCGCATGCAACGTGACAGTGTCGCATGCAACGTGACAGTGTCGCATGCAACGTGACAGTGTCGCATGCAACGTGACAGTGTCGCATGCAACGTGACAGTGTCGCATGCAACGTGACAGTGTCGCATGCAACGTGACAGTGTCGCATGCAACGTGACAGTGTCGCATGCAACGTGACAGTGTCGCATGCAACGTGACAGTGTCGCATGCAACGTGACAGTGTCGCATGCAACGTGACAGTGTCGCATGCAACGTGACAGTGTCGCATGCAACGTGACAGTGTCGCATGCAACGTGACAGTGTCGCATGCAACGTGACAGTGTCGCATGCAACGTGACAGTGTCGCATGCAACGTGACAGTGTCGCATGCAACGTGACAGTGTCGCATGCAACGTGACAGTGTCGCATGCAACGTGACAGTGTCGCATGCAACGTGACAGTGTCGCATGCAACGTGACAGTGTCGCATGCAACGTGACAGTGTCGCATGCAACGTGACAGTGTCGCATGCAACGTGACAGTGTCGCATGCAACGTGACAGTGTCGCATGCAACGTGACAGTGTCGCATGCAACGTGACAGTGTCGCATGCAACGTGACAGTGTCGCATGCAACGTGACAGTGTCGCATGCAACGTGACAGTGTCGCATGCAACGTGACAGTGTCGCATGCAACGTGACAGTGTCGCATGCAACGTGACAGTGTCGCATGCAACGTGACAGTGTCGCATGCAACGTGACAGTGTCGCATGCAACGTGACAGTGTCGCATGCAACGTGACAGTGTCGCATGCAACGTGACAGTGTCGCATGCAACGTGACAGTGTCGCATGCAACGTGACAGTGTCGCATGCAACGTGACAGTGTCGCATGCAACGTGACAGTGTCGCATGCAACGTGACAGTGTCGCATGCAACGTGACAGTGTCGCATGCAACGTGACAGTGTCGCATGCAACGTGACAGTGTCGCATGCAACGTGACAGTGTCGCATGCAACGTGACCAGTGTCGAACGCAAATGCCCACTTCTGCATGCAACGTGACAGTGTCGCATGCAACGTGACAGTGTCGCATGCAACGTGACAGTGTCGCATGCAACGTGACAGTGTCGCATGCAACGTGACAGTGTCGCATGCAACGTGACAGTGTCGCATGCAACGTGACAGTGTCGCATGCAACGTGACAGTGTCGCATGCAACGTGACAGTGTCGCATGCAACGTGACAGTGTCGCATGCAACGTGACAGTGTCGCATGCAACGTGACAGTGTCGCATGCAACGTGACAGTGTCGCATGCAACGTGACAGTGTCGCATGCAACGTGACAGTGTCGCATGCAACGTGACAGTGTCGCATGCAACGTGACAGTGTCGCATGCAACGTGACAGTGTCGCATGCAACGTGACAGTGTCGCATGCAACGTGACAGTGTCGCATGCAACGTGACAGTGTCGCATGCAACGTGACAGTGTCGCATGCAACGTGACAGTGTCGCATGCAACGTGACAGTGTCGCATGCAACGTGACAGTGTCGCATGCAACGTGACAGTGTCGCATGCAACGTGACAGTGTCGCATGCAACGTGACAGTGTCGCATGCAACGTGACAGTGTCGCATGCAACGTGACAGTGTCGCATGCAACGTGACAGTGTCGCATGCAACGTGACAGTGTCGCATGCAACGTGACAGTGTCGCATGCAACGTGACAGTGTCGCATGCAACGTGACAGTGTCGCATGCAACGTGACAGTGTCGCATGCAACGTGACAGTGTCGCATGCAACGTGACAGTGTCGCATGCAACGTGACAGTGTCGCATGCAACGTGACAGTGTCGCATGCAACGTGACAGTGTCGCATGCAACGTGACAGTGTCATATGATTTGTGTCCTCCAAGATCTTTTGCTTGATCCAGCTATCATGCGACACTGTCAAATCATGCCTGTATCCCCACCCCACCCCATGTGATTGCACCAGGTGGCGTACGTTCCAGAGGGGTTGGAGGCGATAGTGTTCACAGCAGATGGCGATATGAGGAAGGCCCTTTTGTGCTGCCTTTCCAGTCTTATGCACACGCATTTGTTTCCGTCCCCTTGTCAATGATTGCACCAGGTGGCGTACGTTCCAGAGGGGTTGGAGGCGATAATGCTGACGGCAGATGAGGTCATGGGGCAGGGGATGTGTGTGGCAAATGCAGGGTCTAGCTTTTCATTCACACGCATATGCATTTGTATGCGTCCCCTTGTGATTCCACCAGGTGGCGTACGTTCCAGAGGGGTTGGGGGCGATTGTGTTCACTGCGGATGGCGACATGAGGCAGGCAGGAGCTATGAGCGTGTGTGTCTTGATGTGAAGTTTGAACTCCTAAACACGTTCTCACTTGTGCTGCTAATTGCGTTCCTATATCCCATTGTGATTGCACCAGGTGGCGTACGTTCCAGAGGGGTTGGAGGCGATAGTGTTCACAGCGGATGGCGACATGAGGCAGGGGCTGAACAACCTGCAGGCCACTGCCACTGGCTTTGGGCTAGTCAAGGCCGATAACGTGTTTCGGGTATGTGGGTTTGTAGAACTTCTTAGGCAGGTGGGCTAGCAGTAGGGACGGGGGTGAGAGAGGATGGCGCCATGAGGCAGGGGCTGAACTGAACAACCTGCAGGCCACTGCCACTGGTTTCGGATTGGTAAACGCCGACAGCGTTTTTCGGGTGAGTGATAGCATTCACATAGGCAGGTGGTATAGTTGTAGGGAATGGGAGTGAGGGGCAGGGACTGAACAACTTGAAGGCCACTGCTACTGGCTTTGGGCTGGTGAACGCCGATAACATGTTCCAGGTATGTGTGTTATATATGTAGCACTCACACAGGCAGGTGGTGTAGCTGTATGCAACGGGAGTGAGTGAGAGGCGCAAGAATCAACAACCTGCAGACCACTGCCACTTGCTTCGGGCTTGTGAATGCAGCTAACGTTTTCATTTCAGAGTAAATTGGTTAGTCTCCACACATGGGCTCGTGGTTAACGTGACTGCAGGCGTTGGTGGTTGTGGTAGTGCTAATTGTTGAATGTGCCCCATCTGCTCCTCTCCTGTCTTGCCTCTCCCAGGTGTGTGACCAGCCACACCCACTGAAGGTGAGGTTACTTTTGAGTCGACTCAAAAGTCACCTTGCAGGCGTTGGTGGTTGTGTTGTGGTAGTGCTAATTGTTGAATGTGCCCCGTCTGCTCCTCTCCTGTCTCGCCTCTCCCAGGTGTGCGACCAGCCACACCCACTAAAGGTGGCAGCGACAGTCAAAGCCTGTCTAACCGGTGACATCGACACGGCATGCGAGGGCGTCCGGGACCTCTTTGCTCTGGGATTTTCTTTAAGTCATACCCAATTCCCTGTGTGTGTATCCGTTTTCTCTCCCAGGTGTGCGACCAGCCGCACCCACTGAAGGTAGCAGCGACAGTCAAGGCGTGTCTATCCGGTGACATTGACACGGCATGCGAGGGCATCCGGGACCTCTTTGCTCTGGGCTACGCTGCGTCTGACATCATCACGACGCTCTTCAGAATAGTCAAGAACTACGACATGCCGGAGTTTCTGACGCTGGAGTTTATACGAGTGAGTCGCCTCTCTTTTGCCTGTGCAAGGTGGGTAGATGGGTGCACAGGGGTTCAGATGGGTGCACAGGGCGTCAGAGGGAGCTAAAAATCTTGGCTCCTGGCTACGCTGCGTCTGACATCATCACCGCGCTCTTCAGAATAGTCAAGAACTATGACATGCCAGAGTTTCTGAAGCTGGAGTTTGTACGAGTGAGTCGCCTCTCTTTTGCCAGTGCAAGGTGGGTAGATGGGTGCACAGGGGTTCAGGTGGGTGCACAGGGGGTAGGAGGGGGCTAAATATCTTTGCTATGGGCTATGCTGCTTCTGACATGACATCATCACCGCGCTCTTCAGAATAGTCAAGAACTATGACATGCCAGAGTTTCTGAAGCTGGAGTTTGTACGAGTGAGTCGCCTCTCTTTTGCCAGTGCAAGGTGGGTAGATGGGTGCACAGGGGTTCAGGTGGGTGCACAGGGGGTAGGAGGGGGCTAAATATCTTTGCTATGGGCTATGCTGCTTCTGACATGACATCATCACCGCGCTCTTCAGAATAGTCAAGAACTATGACATGCCAGAGTTTCTGAAGCTGGAGTTTGTACGAGTGAGTCGCCTCTCTTTTGCCAGTGCAAGGTGGGTAGATGGGTGCACAGGGGTTCAGGTGGGTGCACAGGGGGTAGGAGGGGGCTAAATATCTTTGCTATGGGCTATGCTGCTTCTGACATGACATCATCACCGCGCTCTTCAGAATAGTCAAGAACTATGACATGCCAGAGTTTCTGAAGCTGGAGTTTGTACGAGTGAGTCGCCTCTCTTTTGCCAGTGCAAGGTGGGTAGATGGGTGCACAGGGGTTCAGGTGGGTGCACAGGGGGTAGGAGGGGGCTAAATATCTTTGCTATGGGCTATGCTGCTTCTGACATGACATCATCACCGCGCTCTTCAGAATAGTCAAGAACTATGACATGCCAGAGTTTCTGAAGCTGGAGTTTGTACGAGTGAGTCGCCTCTCTTTTGCCAGTGCAAGGTGGGTAGATGGGTGCACAGGGGTTCAGGTGGGTGCACAGGGGGTAGGAGGGGGCTAAATATCTTTGCTATGGGCTATGCTGCTTCTGACATGACATCATCACCGCGCTCTTCAGAATAGTCAAGAACTATGACATGCCAGAGTTTCTGAAGCTGGAGTTTGTACGAGTCGCCTCTCTTTTGCCAGTGCAAGGTGGGTAGATGGGTGCACAGGGGTTCAGGTGGGTGCACAGGGGGTAGGAGGGGGCTAAATATCTTTGCTATGGGCTATGCTGCTTCTGACATGACATCATCACCGCGCTCTTCAGAATAGTCAAGAACTATGACATGCCAGAGTTTCTGAAGCTGGAGTTTGTACGAGTGAGTCGCCTCTCTTTTGCCAGTGCAAGGTGGGTAGATGGGTGCACAGGGGTTCAGGTGGGTGCACAGGGGGTAGGAGGGGGCTAAATATCTTTGCTATGGGCTATGCTGCTTCTGACATGACATCATCACCGCGCTCTTCAGAATAGTCAAGAACTATGACATGCCAGAGTTTCTGAAGCTGGAGTTTGTACGAGTGAGTCGCCTCTCTTTTGCCAGTGCAAGGTGGGTAGATGGGTGCACAGGGGTTCAGGTGGGTGCACAGGGGGTAGGAGGGGGCTAAATATCTTTGCTATGGGCTATGCTGCTTCTGACATGACATCATCACCGCGCTCTTCAGAATAGTCAAGAACTATGACATGCCAGAGTTTCTGAAGCTGGAGTTTGTACGAGTGAGTCGCCTCTCTTTTGCCAGTGCAAGGTGGGTAGATGGGTGCACAGGGGTTCAGGTGGGTGCACAGGGGGTAGGAGGGGGCTAAATATCTTTGCTATGGGCTATGCTGCTTCTGACATGACATCATCACCGCGCTCTTCAGAATAGTCAAGAACTATGACATGGAGGAGGGGCGGGGGAGAGGGGAGGAGAGCAAGAGAGTGGCAATGAATTCAAAGGAGGTTCATGTGAGGTCGAGCAGAGAGCTGAGGAGGTTGGTGAACACGGTCTGACTGACCTGTTGGGGACTGGGAGCGGGGGGTAGTTTGGATAAAAGAGGGCATGAGGCAGAGGGAAGCGACGAACCCGAAGGAAGATTTGCTGATCTAGGAGAGAGCTGAGAGAGCTGAGGAGGTGGTAATCACGGTGTGACCTGTCTCCACAGCAGATAGCGACAGGTCACTCATCAAGTGGTCTATTCGCCACTACATCGTTTTGAGTCGACTCAAAACAAGGCTCAAGTGGTCTATTCGCCCCTACATCGGCAAATATTCCCCAATTCAATGTAATCACCAACACCCAACCCGACACCCCACTCACCCGGTCCTTCTTCATGTCCCAGTGCGCTTTCTCCACAGCAGACAGACAGCATCGTTATCCACCTGACCTTTCTCACCCAGTACCGCACTCAACCAGTCCTCACCCCACTTACCCGGTCCTTCTTCATGTCCCAGTGCGCTTTCTCCACAGCAGACAGCAACAACTCGTTATCCACCTGTCCTTTCTCACCCAGTACCGCACTCAACCGGTCATTTTTCATCCAATACTGCACTCAACCAGACCTTTTAACAACCAGTACCCCACTCACCCGGTCCTTCTTCATGTCCCAGTGCGCTTTCTCCAGGGCAGTCAGCATCGATATCCACCTGACCTTTCTCACCCAGTACCGCACTCAACCGGTCTTTTCTCATCCAATACCGCACTCACCCGGTCCTTCTTCATGTCCCAGTGCGCTTTCTCCACAGCAGACAGCAACAATTCGTTATCCACCTCCTCCTCCTCTTCCTCCTCTTCCTCTTCCTCTTCCTCTTCCTCCTCCTCTCCCTCTTCCTCCCCCCCTCCGCCTCCTCCCCCTTCCAGTTCTCCCTTTTCCCCATTCCCATCCCCCACCCCCACCCCATTCGCTTCCACTTGCATTCCCCTCCTCTTCCCCACCAGCCTGCCTGGACACGAACTGACCAATAGCGGCTGGACAGATAAGCACTCCTCTGCCAGCGTGACACCTGGAACTGGCCACAATCGCCCCGGATAGACTCTCCTGCTGCAGGCGTCGCTACAACTTCTGCTACAGCCACTGTGGTGGTTACACCTCCTGTTACAGCCGCCACTACAGTTTCTGCTACAGTTTCTGCTACAGCTGCTGCTACATCTTCTGTTACAGTTGCTGCTACAGGGACGATTACACCTCGTGCTACAGCTGCAGATGCTACAGCCACTATTTAACCTGCTCTTGCTATCTGTTCTGCTGTCATTGTTAACCTTCTCGCTGGTTCTGCTGTCATTGTTAACCTTCTCGCTGGTTCTGCTGCCGCTGCATAGCCTTTGTCTGCAGCGGTATCCCCTCTTCTGCCCAACCCTCTCCTGCCCACCCCTCTCCCGCCCAGCCCTCTCCTGCTCAAGCCTGTCAAGCACTGCGCTTTCGAAACCCTCCCAACGATCCCATTTCAAGCATGGCACTGGCGCTGACTGTCGTTCACACGGGACTGACTCTCGTTCACACAGCACTGACTCTCGTTCACACAGGACTGACTCGAGCCCACATGATTCACCCAATCTTGAGCATTCCGCCCCACTCCCACCTCTCCTTCCTTCTCTGCTATCTGTTTCTGGCCCTACTGACTGCCGCTCACACACCGGCGACTCTAGCCCACACGGTACACCCGTACTAATGCATTCCGCCCCACTCCCACCTCTCCTTCCTTCTCTGCTTTCACTTTTAACCTCTACTACCGTCCTCCTCCCTCCCGTCTCCCCTCCCTCCCTCTCCTTCTCCCTCCCCTCCACTCCCTCCTCTCCCTCCTTTGCCTCCACTCCCTCCTCTCGCTCCTCTCCCTCCCCCCCCTGTTCGTCCCAACACCCACACTCCCACTCCCCATCACCCCACCCTCCCTCCTCCCCCCAACCCTCCTCCTCCTCCACCTCCTCCCCCACCTCCTCCCCTTCAGAAGAGCTACTACTATCCGACTCCTCATCCTCTATTATCTCTTCTAACGCCTCTGCAACAAGAGCAGAGCCCGCAGAAGGTGACCTGGGCAGCTGAATTGACCTCCGGGCAGGCGAAAAAGCCGGCGAGAAACCCGGCATTGGCGAGAGGGGAGAGGTAGGGGCGAACGGGTGGGTGCCAGTGGGAGACAGGAGTCGGTTATTTGGCGAATGGAGGCTGTTACTAGAGGAAACGAGGCGGTTATTAGCGAAATGGGGGCGGCTAATTGGCGAAAGGAGGCGGTTACGAGGGGATAGGAGGCTGCTGCTGCTGCTGTTAGGAGAAAGAAGGTTGTTGCTGTCTTTAAAGGAAGGGATGTCATTTCTCCTCTGTAAGAGGTTGTTTCCTCCAGCAGCAATCGTTTCAACTCGTGGCATGCGCTGCTGCACCGGCACCGCTTGCTGCTGCAAGGGGAGTGTTTGAGAAGTAAGATTCTGCAATGGATGACTCTGCATTGGAAGATTCTGAGAAGGGAGGCTCTGCAAAGGAAGGTTCTGCAGAGGAGGGTTTTCGGAACGCAAAGCAGCAGCGGAGGAGAAAGGGCTATGCATGCCCCCATCAACCATCTCCTCGGGATTAAAGCTGAAACTATCAGCAGAGGCAGCTCTCCTGTGCCCTTGCCGTCCCCTCCCCATCCTCCCCCCCATTCCTCCCCTGCTGTTGCTGCTGGTGCCTCCGCTAGGGCTACACCAGCGGGGCGGGCGAGCTAGGGACGGGCCGGACGGGGTGACAGGAGAGTTTCTGCTGCCTTCGTTCTGCCTGATTTCGTAAGTTTGCCTTCTGCTCGTGCTGATTACCGGGTGCCTGATTTCGTAAGTTTCAGGCTGGTTGGGACCAGACTGCTGCTCGTGCTGTCTCGTTGACTGGTTGTGACTTATCTCTTGCTCGGGCTGATTCTGCTGCGGATTTGGGTGGTTATTTCCTTGGAAGTGCAGTGGAAAGCGGTTCGGATGGTGGGACGGGTGGAGGGCGGCAGAGGGCGAGAAGGCAGGAGAGGAGGACGGGGAGGGGGAGGAGGAGGAGGAGGTGGAGGGGAGGGACGGGGGAGCGCGTGGGGAGGAGGATCGGCGGGGGTGCAGCGGAGGAAGGGAGTGAGGAGAATAGGAGTGAGGAGAGGCGTGAGGAGAGGAGTGACGAGAGGAGTGGGGAGAGGAGTGGCGAGAGGAATGGGGAGAGGAGTGATGAGAGGAGTGATGAGAGGAGTGAGGAATGGTATGAGGAGAACAGGTAGACGGGGTACTGTGGCTTCGAGGGTATGTGAAGGAGTTGCGGCGGCTGGAGCGGGAGGTTGGGGGTGAAACCGAGGCAGGAGGCCTGGTGAAACTCCTACGAGAAAGGGAGGAGGACGAAGCAACACCAACAGCAGCAGCAGCAGCAGCAGCAGCAGCAGGAGGAGGAGGAGGAGGAGGAAAAGCAGCAGCATGATGAGGCGCAGGAGGAGCAGGAGCAGCAACACCAACAGCAGCAGCACGAGCAGCAGACGCAGCAGGATGAGCAGAAGCAGCAGGAGCAGGAGCAGCAGAAGGAGCAGAAACATCAACTGTGGTGGCGGTAGAACTTGTAGTGGTTGTACTGGTTTTGGCAGTGGCAGTGGTAGTGCCAGTGCCACGTGGCAGCTGGTTATTGGGTTGCAGCCCTTCGTTTTGAACTTGCCCCCCGTGCCACTGCATGAGAAGCTGCTGCAGCACCTGCTGCTGTTCCGAGGTTGTCCCTATTGCTAGCTTCATGGGCCTCTCACTCTGCTGCTGCTGCTGCTGCTGCTGCTGTTGCCCACTCTGCTGCTGTGACGACTTACTCTCACGCGGCCTCTCTAGAACAGGAGCCTGCTGCTGCTGTTCTTCCTCCGACTCCCCTGTCTGCTGCTCTCTCTTCTCATGCTCGGCTTTCTCCTGCTGCCCTTGCTGTTGTTCAGTTCCCTGCCCTTGGATTCTTCCCAGCTCCCTTCCCTCTCCTTCTATCTGCTCCGCCTTGCCATCTCCCTCCCCATGCGCTTCCTCCTGCGCCTCCCCCTGTTCCACCCCCAGCGCTTCCTCCTGCGCCTCCCCCTGTTCCACCCCCAGCGCTTCCTCCTGCGCCTCCCCCTGTTCCACCCCCAGCGCTTCCTCCTGCGCCTCCCCCTGTTCCACCCCCAGCGCTTCCTCCTGCGCCTCCCCCTGTTCCACCCCCAGCGCTTCCTCCTGCGCCTCCCCCTGTTCCACCCCCAGCGCTTCCTCCTGCGCCTCCCCCTGTTCCACCCCCAGCGCTTCCTCCTGCGCCTCCCCCTGTTCCACCCCCAGCGCTTCCTCCTGCGCCTCCCCCTGTTCCACCCCCAGCGCTTCCTCCTGCGCCTCCCCCTGTTCCACCCCCAGCGCTTCCTCCTGCGCCTCCCCCTGTTCCACCCCCAGCGCTTCCTCCTGCGCCTCCCCCTGTTCCACCCCCAGCGCTTCCTCCTGCGCCTCCCCCTGTTCCACCCCCAGCGCTTCCTCCTGCGCCTCCCCCTGTTCCACCCCCAGCGCTTCCTCCTGCGCCTCCCCCTGTTCCACCCCCAGCGCTTCCTCCTGCGCCTCCCCCTGTTCCACCCCCAGCGCTTCCTCCTGCGCCTCCCCCTGTTCCACCCCCAGCGCTTCCTCCTGCGCCTCCCCCTGTTCCACCCCCAGCGCTTCCTCCTGCGCCTCCCCCTGTTCCACCCCCAGCGCTTCCTCCTGCGCCTCCCCCTGTTCCACCCCCAGCGCTTCCTCCTGCGCCTCCCCCTGTTCCACCCCCAGCGCTTCCTCCTGCGCCTCCCCCTGTTCCACCCCCAGCGCTTCCTCCTGCGCCTCCCCCTGTTCCACCCCCAGCGCTTCCTCCTGCGCCTCCCCCTGTTCCACCCCCAGCGCTTCCTCCTGCGCCTCCCCCTGTTCCACCCCCAGCGCTTCCTCCTGCGCCTCCCCCTGTTCCACCCCCAGCGCTTCCTCCTGCGCCTCCCCCTGTTCCACCCCCAGCGCTTCCTCCTGCGCCTCCCCCTGTTCCACCCCCAGCGCTTCCTCCTGCGCCTCCCCCTGTTCCACCCCCAGCGCTTCCTCCTGCGCCTCCCCCTGTTCCACCCCCAGCGCTTCCTCCTGCGCCTCCCCCTGTTCCACCCCCAGCGCTTCCTCCTGCGCCTCCCCCTGTTCCACCCCCAGCGCTTCCTCCTGCGCCTCCCCCTGTTCCACCCCCAGCGCTTCCTCCTGCGCCTCCCCCTGTTCCACCCCCAGCGCTTCCTCCTGCGCCTCCCCCTGTTCCACCCCCAGCGCTTCCTCCTGCGCCTCCCCCTGTTCCACCCCCAGCGCTTCCTCCTGCGCCTCCCCCTGTTCCACCCCCAGCGCTTCCTCCTGCGCCTCCCCCTGTTCCACCCCCAGCGCTTCCTCCTGCGCCTCCCCCTGTTCCACCCCCAGCGCTTCCTCCTGCGCCTCCCCCTGTTCCACCCCCAGCGCTTCCTCCTGCGCCTCCCCCTGTTCCACCCCCAGCGCTTCCTCCTGCGCCTCCCCCTGTTCCACCCCCAGCGCTTCCTCCTGCGCCTCCCCCTGTTCCACCCCCAGCGCTTCCTCCTGCGCCTCCCCCTGTTCCACCCCCAGCGCTTCCTCCTGCGCCTCCCCCTGTTCCACCCCCAGCGCTTCCTCCTGCGCCTCCCCCTGTTCCACCCCCAGCGCTTCCTCCTGCGCCTCCCCCTGTTCCACCCCCAGCGCTTCCTCCTGCGCCTCCCCCTGTTCCACCCCCAGCGCTTCCTCCTGCGCCTCCCCCTGTTCCACCCCCAGCGCTTCCTCCTGCGCCTCCCCCTGTTCCACCCCCAGCGCTTCCTCCTGCGCCTCCCCCTGTTCCACCCCCAGCGCTTCCTCCTGCGCCTCCCCCTGTTCCACCCCCAGCGCTTCCTCCTGCGCCTCCCCCTGTTCCACCCCCAGCGCTTCCTCCTGCGCCTCCCCCTGTTCCACCCCCAGCGCTTCCTCCTGCGCCTCCCCCTGTTCCACCCCCAGCGCTTCCTCCTGCGCCTCCCCCTGTTCCACCCCCAGCGCTTCCTCCTGCGCCTCCCCCTGTTCCACCCCCAGCGCTTCCTCCTGCGCCTCCCCCTGTTCCACCCCCAGCGCTTCCTCCTGCGCCTCCCCCTGTTCCACCCCCAGCGCTTCCTCCTGCGCCTCCCCCTGTTCCACCCCCAGCGCTTCCTCCTGCGCCTCCCCCTGTTCCACCCCCAGCGCTTCCTCCTGCGCCTCCCCCTGTTCCACCCCCAGCGCTTCCTCCTGCGCCTCCCCCTGTTCCACCCCCAGCGCTTCCTCCTGCGCCTCCCCCTGTTCCACCCCCAGCGCTTCCTCCTGCGCCTCCCCCTGTTCCACCCCCAGCGCTTCCTCCTGCGCCTCCCCCTGTTCCACCCCCAGCGCTTCCTCCTGCGCCTCCCCCTGTTCCACCCCCAGCGCTTCCTCCTGCGCCTCCCCCTGTTCCACCCCCAGCGCTTCCTCCTGCGCCTCCCCCTGTTCCACCCCCAGCGCTTCCTCCTGCGCCTCCCCCTGTTCCACCCCCAGCGCTTCCTCCTGCGCCTCCCCCTGTTCCACCCCCAGCGCTTCCTCCTGCGCCTCCCCCTGTTCCACCCCCAGCGCTTCCTCCTGCGCCTCCCCCTGTTCCACCCCCAGCGCTTCCTCCTGCGCCTCCCCCTGTTCCACCCCCAGCGCTTCCTCCTGCGCCTCCCCCTGTTCCACCCCCAGCGCTTCCTCCTGCGCCTCCCCCTGTTCCACCCCCAGCGCTTCCTCCTGCGCCTCCCCCTGTTCCACCCCCAGCGCTTCCTCCTGCGCCTCCCCCTGTTCCACCCCCAGCGCTTCCTCCTGCGCCTCCCCCTGTTCCACCCCCAGCGCTTCCTCCTGCGCCTCCCCCTGTTCCACCCCCAGCGCTTCCTCCTGCGCCTCCCCCTGTTCCACCCCCAGCGCTTCCTCCTGCGCCTCCCCCTGTTCCACCCCCAGCGCTTCCTCCTGCGCCTCCCCCTGTTCCACCCCCAGCGCTTCCTCCTGCGCCTCCCCCTGTTCCACCCCCAGCGCTTCCTCCTGCGCCTCCCCCTGTTCCACCCCCAGCGCTTCCTCCTGCGCCTCCCCCTGTTCCACCCCCAGCGCTTCCTCCTGCGCCTCCCCCTGTTCCACCCCCAGCGCTTCCTCCTGCGCCTCCCCCTGTTCCACCCCCAGCGCTTCCTCCTGCGCCTCCCCCTGTTCCACCCCCAGCGCTTCCTCCTGCGCCTCCCCCTGTTCCACCCCCAGCGCTTCCTCCTGCGCCTCCCCCTGTTCCACCCCCAGCGCTTCCCCCTGCGCCTCCCCCTTCTCCTGCTCCTCCTGGTCCTTCCCCCTCCCCCGCTCCCGATCCAGGTCCTTCTGCTCCTGCTCCTGCTCCTGCTGCTCATCCGCGCGTCCCTTCGCCCTAGCTGCCAAGCCACCATCCATAGACAATGCCCTTGTCACATGCATGTCCTCGCTATTAGCTGCTCCACTTCCCCCTGAAACCCTAACTCCCTTCTCTTCAACTCCTATCTTCTCCACGTGTAAAAGGCCTTGCTCCTCCTGCGATCCCACCACCTCCCTCTCCTGAATCCCCCTTATACGCGTCTCCTGACCTGTTATAAACCTCTCCTGTCCCGGGTATTGCTCTGATACACTTCTCATAATCCTCACCTTTCCTCCTCTGCCTTCCCCTCTAGAATCACAACCCTCACCGCCGAAATCATCATGTGGCGCCTCCTGACGTGGCACACGCTGTTGCTGACGTGGCTCCACCGGCTCCTGCTGCTGCTTTCCCGCGTGAAACGGCCGGTGGCGGTGCCACCAGTGACCTAGCCTCGCCTGTAGCTTCTTCCTCGGGATTTGCTGCATTTGTTGCATTTGTCGGAGTAACTCATTGGACTTCGCCAGCCTCCCCTTTCTTCCTCGCCTTCAGTACCCGCTAATTTCGCCGATCTGGATCTGGAAATGTAAGAGACTCGGAAATTAGCATCTGTGGTGTAGCTGGGAGCCTCATTCCAGGCAGAGTGATCGATTTTATCTGCCATGTCATCACTACCTTCTGGGCTTTCTCCTGCTTCTCCTTCTCTGTGTCCCGCCTCTCCTTTACCCTCAGAAGCAACAGCAGAAGAAGCAGCAGCAGAATCACCATCCCTATCTCGCACTCCATTCTTGACATATGATTGGTGATCCATATCGCTTGACGGTAGGCTGTGGAATCGGGTCAGCTGCCGTCTATTCTCCTCAAGGCTGGTTCTACCTTTCTCCCCCACACTGCTGGTTACATCGCTGCTGGTTACGACGCTGGTGGTTACATTTTTAGAGTTACTACCAAGGAAAGCGCTGTGTACAGGAAGACAGCTAATTTCCGTCGCGTTCCGGCTGCTGCTGCTGCTCTCGTCAATTCTGCTGCTGCTGCTGCCGTCAATTCTACCGCTTCTGCTGCTACTGCTGCTGCCGTCGATTTTCATCGGGATTCCCCCGCCTAGTCTCCAGCTGCTTGCCAAGCTGATGCTCCGTAACGCAATATCGAAACTCTTTCTAACGGAGCCTGGCGCATTTTCTCCGTCGTTGTTTTCCGATTTCTTAATCCAATCTCGCTTCGCAACGGCATTCGCTGAACCTTCTCGCGAGCTCTCCAGCGACAGCATTCTCGATTCGGCACGAGGCGATCCGTTAGACGTGTCGTTATACGCGATATTAGTTCCTTCCGAAACACGGAATTTTGACTCGTCATCTGAAGCATACTCCGCGACTGGGCTCAGCGGCAAGACGCTCACCTCGGACGCAGACGACGACTCCATTTAGCCGAAGTAATAAATTATGACCTTTTCCCTAAGCGAGTGAAATCATAATGCGGATGCGACAGAAACCATTCCCTAGACAATGCGAGCCGAATCTTTAAAGCTCGCGTCTCATATTTCTGTGTCCCAACCAAGTGTTAAACGCTTGGTATCCGGTAACCCTCAAACTGTCGCACAACTCCACTGAAGGTTGGCCCAGGTTGAAACGATTGGTTGGGAACCTACAAACTTGCTTGGCGGTATGCGCAGGGACGTGCCAAACCAATCATGCGATTGTGCACCCAGGTAGGTTTGGAAAACACACCTGCACGGGGACAACACGATCGCCCAAACTCCCCCACCGGCGACCAGGTTGTCGCACGAATCAAGCATTTACAACAGCTGAAAAATATGAGACTGACAGAACTCAGAAACCCGATTTCGCACTAGCACTAGGCTCAGGTTCAAGAGTAAAACTCTTTCCACTAGCAACCGCGGTTACCTCTTACACAAAAGTTAGATTCTCGTTGATCAGCATATACGGCCGACCTATAAACTTGAAATTAGGTCTTCATTTATCAGTATCAGCGGCGACCAGGGTACATCCCGTGCTTATCGTGAACCATGTCCAGGTAATGAGGCGCGCCAGGTAAGGGACGCGATGGGGCAGGACGGGACAGTACGGGAAGCGACGGGACTGGACAGGACTGGACGGGAAGGGACTAGAGGGACGGGACGGGACGGCACAGGAAGGTAAGAATCTCGACGAGGGGCCGGGAGGGGACGTGACGGGAAGGCGGGATGCGACGAGACCGGACGCAAATGGAAGGGAGGGAAGAGGAGCACGCGGAAGGGGCGGGATGCGACGGTACGGGGCGGAAACGGGAGGGACGGGAGGGGACGCGACGAGGGGGCGTGCATGCAGGGGGTCATGCATGAATGCAGGTCCTTGGCGTAGCAGGGTGAAGAGCACATCGTGTAATACAGCACAGCACAAGAACAGCGCACAGTGCAGCAGCGCCTGGACGAGTGGGGCGATTGCGAGCGCAAGTGCAGCCAGTGGCGCGAAGCCGCCAAACATGTCCCAAAACTCGGTCGTCCAGCTTGCCGTCGACTGGTTGCAGGGGGGATGGGGGCCGAGCGGGGGAGTGGGAGAGGGAGCGAAGCAGGAGCAAGTAGGGAGCGGAGGAGCGGAGAAAGGAGGGGAAGGGCGGGAGAGAGGCGGCGGAAGAGGGAGAGAAAGGAGCGGGAGGAGAGCGGGGGAGAGGCGGGTTGGAGTGGAGGCGGGGAGAAGGAGCAGGGGGGGGAGGGGAGGGGGTAGGTGGGATGTGGAGGGGAGGAAATGGGAGGGGAGGTGAGTGGAGACAGGAAATGCGGTCCTGCTTGCCGGCGTTCATCCTCCCTATCTCCGTTCTCTCCTCCCCAACCCCTTTTCCTTTCCCCCACCCCCCTTGCCTTTCCACTCATTCTCCCTGCCGCCCTGATTAGGTGCGAACGACGGGTTGCGATAAATCCCGTCATTCCCCCTTCTGCTCTCCATCAATTCCCGCTCTGCTTTTCCATCAATTTCCCCTCTGCTCTCTATTTCCCCCCCTGCTTCTCCTCCGTTCCCCCCCTGCTTCCCCCCATCCCCTTCCCTGCTTCCCCCCATCCCCTTCCCTGCTTCCCCCCATCCCCTTCCCTGCTTCCCCCCATCCCCTTCCCTGCTCCCCCCCATCCCCTTCCCTGCTTCCCCCCATCCCCTTTCCTGCTTCCCCCCATCCCCTTTCCTTCTTCCCCCCATCCCCTTTCCTGCTTCCCCCCATCCCCTTTCCTGCTTCCCCCCATCCCCTCAGCCCTCCTTCCCCCCACCCTCTGCCCTGTTCCACCCTGCCCTCCCCATCCCTGCCTTTCCCTCCCTGCCCTGCGCTTCCCTTCCCCATCCCTTCTCAACCCTTCCCTTCCTTTTCATGCCCTCCCCTTCCCCTTCACACCTCACCCGCCCACTACTGTAGTTCCCATGCATGTGCACCCATCACTGTCTCCCCACATGCTTTCATCATGTGCGCTTGCTTGTGTTCCCTTGCAGTTGTTCCTTTGGCACCTCACACCACCTCCCCCATGTTCCTTCACACAATTATTCCTGCCTACTCCACTCCCTGTATTTTCAGTGGTGAAGCAGAGGAGCAAGCTGAGGCGCAGCTAAAGCTAGTCCACGCTCTATACCGTACCACCACCTGTTTTTCTTGTGTGTTGTATGCAAGCATGATACTGTATTAGTGTAGGAGATATCCATATCAAAGGCACAATATGTACTTTTCTTTCTGCAGTGCAAGATATTCTTCCAAGATGTATGGACACTGAGAGTGTCAGAAGGATAGAGGCATGTCCCTAATACTGGCATGTTCCTATACTGGCTTGTAGCTTGTAGCTTTGCGTATGCATTACAGGTTGTATGACACCTGGTGTCGCAATGGTGCCTCAAATCCATGAGAAGGCAGGGAGGTGTGATGGAAAGGCAGGGAGATGGGTAGTAAGTGAGGGGAGATTTGAAGGGACGGAGGGTGAAAAGGGAATACAAGCGAGTAAACATGAGTTAATAAGATGCATGTATGGGGCAAAAGTGATGGCAGCACATGCACATGAACTGGAGGGCAGAAGGCGAGGAGTGACGTAGAAGGGCGGGGTCGAGAAGGGAAGGGCAGGGAGGAAAGGGCAGGGATGGGGATGAAGGGGAGGGGAGGAAGGGGAGGGAATGATGGGGAGAGAAGGAAGGGAAGGGGAGGAAGTGGAGGGAAGGAAGGGAAAAGGGGGGAGGGGAGATTGGTTACAGGAAGGAAGGGACGGCGGTGAGGATTGCGAGAGTGAGAATGGCAGGAAGAGTGTGAGAGGGCAGACGGGCCTTGTGATGTGGCCCACAAGAGATGAGAAGGAAAACGAGATGGTGGGAGGCATGAAGGAGATAAGGAGAGAAGCAAGGAAGGCAGGGAGAGGTGGTGGGAGGCATGAAGGAGAGATGGAAAAGGGGAAGCGGGATTGGAAAAAGGGGTGAATGAAAAGTGAGAATTCGGTAAGAAGGTGAGTGACGGGGGAAACAGAGTGGGCAGAGGGGAGAAAGGGTGAGTGTGGGGGAAAGAGAGTGAGCAGAGGGGAAAACGCGTGAGTGAGGGGTGAAAGAGAGTGAGCAGAGGGGAAACGGGTGCATAAAAGGGGGGTAATGAGAGCCTGCAGGGGGGGAAATGAGGGCGTGCAGGGGGGGAAATGAGGGCGTGCAGGGGGGGAAATGAGGGCGTGCAGGGGGGGAAATGAGGGCGTGAAGGGGGGGAAATGAGGGCGTGCAGGGGGGGAAATGAGGGCGTGCAGGGGGGGAAATGAGGGCGTGCAGGGGGGATGCCGCGCGAGGAGGCGAGAGGAGCACGCACGGGGAGGGGAGAGGAGCACGCGCGGGGAGGCGAGAGGAGCACGCACGCGGAGGGGAGAGGAGCACGCACGCGGAGGGGAGAGGAGCACGCACGCGGAGGGGAGAGGAGCACGCGCGGGGAGGGGAGAGGAGCACGCGCGGAGAGACGAGAGGAGCACGCACGGGGAGGGGAGAGGAGCACGCGCGGGGAGGCGAGAGGAGCACGCACGCGGAGGGGAGAGGAGCACGCACGCGGAGGGGAGAGGAGCACGCACGCGGAGGGGAGAGGAGCACGCGCTGGGAGGGGAGAGGAGCACGCGCTGAGAGGCGAGAGGAGCACGCGCGGGGAGGCGAGAGGAGGCGAGAAGGGGATATTGGGCGGCAGAAATGGGAGATCGGGCCGCGGGAACGGGAACTCGGGCGGGTTGCACGGGAGATCGGTCGGCGAGCAGGGGAGATGGGGTGGCGGGGAAGCGGAGGTCGGGTGGTGGGAAGATGACGGCTATTACCTAATCATAAGCATAGGCAAAGGGGAGCGCTACTGCTGCTCACCCCTGTTACGTGACATTCTTTGTCCTTTTGACGCCTTTGGATAGGAGCTAGGTTACTAATGGAGTGGTAATGCTTCTACTACGTGTAAGGAGGTAGGGCTGGAGTGCTAACCTTGGCGCTTGATTTTTCCCTATCACTTCACTCCCTTGCACAATCTGTGTTCCCGTCGTCAGTGTTGGTCGCACAAAGTGCAACTTCCCAAACCTGTCACGCAAGAGGTTCGGATGTGACCCAAACCTGCGCCTGAGCTCTTGTGTTGGCCTCAACACTTTGGAACTTCGCGCATGTATTTCCCCCGCTCGTCAAAAAACTCGTCACTCGTAAACCAATCAGGATCTTACTTTCCCAACCAAGTGTTAAACACTAGTAAATATGAGACGCGAGCTTTAAGTCGGAGTTTGACAACCATAAGCTAGTCCTACCAACACACACCTACTCTACACACGATACAAGCCACTTGAAAATGACCTCCCAAGAGGGAGCCCGATCTGTCAATGGGTTCACACACAGCACAGGATGGTCCATGATCCCTCGCGTATGGCCTGTGGCCCCATGATGACGTGGGTTTCTTGTTCGAGTTGAGTTGGTACGGAGAGTTGCTGAAGAAGCTTCGAGCTTCGGTTTGTGGCGAGCGAGTTGGGAGGCGAGCGCGTGTATCCAGCTCGGATACTCAAGACCATAAAGGGTTACGTCTTTGTGACGAAATCATTTGCTTGTTACATCATGGTTATGTTTGTGGAAACGCCTCAGCCGATGACCAAACTAAGGCAAATTTGATGTAACAGGTATCATGAAACCCTTTGCAAAACATTAATCAATATACTGTATGTGGATCATTTGTATCTACGAGATTACACAGAGAATCATTGAAAGTTGAGAGATAGGGAAGTGGGTTGATGTTAAATTTCAGCTATATAGATTGACATTAATTGAAAATATTGCAGGCCGAACTATGTTCTGACGAGATCCGGTTCTAACGAGTATAGATCTCGTGGCTGATGTGCACGCTCCAAGTCAGTCGCGTCTTCCAGAAGCTCTTCAGCTCAAGGGTTTCTGTTGGCGGCCGAATCAACGGCCATTGATATGTCAGATCATCATCATCGACGGTTATTGTCAACCGAAAACGCAGTCGGTGAGGTGTCAGCCAAACTTTCCTCCCTCCCAAGATTCTTCCCTGTTCCATCCAACTTTCAAGGGACCCCCAAAAGGGAGAGTTTCTCAAAACGAGCCTTTACTTTTCATATTATCCCAAGGTCCCTCTTGCGCGGTTCCTGCCTTTTCGACCTTCCAGTAGGTGTAAGCTGTGATTCTGCCTAGGGAATGCCTGAAACAGACTTGCTTGCTTTCAAGCTTCATCCTCTGTATATTCTGTAGCTGATTCTTCCTCGCGAACAGGAGTCAGCTCGAAAAGATCGTCGACCTTGACCTTTTTCCTTGCCTTATTTCGGCTAGCGTTCAACACCTGCTTGCTCAAATCCGCGGTTGCGCTTGCTACTCGCCTGTGCTCCGATCGAGTTCATCGTAGCGACATCTCGACGACATGGGAGGAGGCAATGGACAGAAGGCCAAGATGGCTCGCGAGAAGGCGCAGGCCAAGATGCAGGGTAACCGAGGTACGGTAACTTTCCATATCTCTCCCGTTATTTTACTTTTAATTACTAGTTTTTAATGGATATGTGAAGTCATGGCGTCAACGGCTTTGTTGACGCAAGTGAATTCTGATGGTGAATTCGTTGCTCGGTTCACTAAATGTCTACCGACGTTCATTCGAAGGCCTTTGCGAATCTTATCGGGCCGTGGTTTCGTAAAGTATTCCCGTTAATGACTCGGGGTGGAGTTATTCATTTTTTTTCGGTAGTTATTTTCATTCGTTTGTATTCCGTTCCCTCATTGAATCCATTTCGAACCTTTCGACTTTCCCCTCTGACCCCTTACCCCTGTTTCCCCCCTTCCCCCCTCCCCTCTCTCGCTCTCACCCTCCCTCCCCCCCTTCTCCCACTCTCTCCCTTTCTCTCTCTCTCTCTCTCTTTCTCTCTCTCTCTCTCTCTCTCTCTCTCTCTCTCTCTCTCTCTCTCTCTCTCTCTCTTTCTCTCTCTCCTTTTCCTTTCTACAGGCAGTCAGCTTGAGGTGAACCAAAAGGCTATGAACATTCAGGTAAGATGCTTTCTGGTTGTCAGCTGTCTGATTGTGTCATAATGTCCCCTAGATTGGATGATTCCACATTGTCATTTGGGTCGTGCAGGTTGTCACATAGTCTGCTCTCTGATGACTTCAGTTGATCACTTGTCAGAGAAGCTGGTACTCGGTAAGCTTTATTTCCTACTGCAAGCGGCTTATGTTAACCTGTTTTATTTCTCCCCCTTCCTCGGTCTATGCAGTGCAAGGTGTGCATGCAAACGTTCATCTGCACGACGAACGAGGCCAAGTGCAAAGAGCACGCAGACGCACGGCACCCCAAGCACGACTTCCATGTGTGCTTCCCCCATCTCAAGCCGTGATTCGACCCCAAGGTACATGTTCTAGGGTTTGGATAATCTGGATGGCGAGATAGAAGTTAGTCAGGCTGGGGTGGATAAAGGGGGAAGCGGATGGGGGGGGTTCCGGGGGAAAGGGGGTGCGGGTGCGGAAGGAAACAGGGTGGGGGGGGAAGGGGGTGGGGGTGCGGAAGGAAACAGGGTGGGGGGGAAAGGGGGTGGGGGTGCGGAAGGAGAGAGGGTGGGGGGGTCCGGGGTGAAAGGGTGGGGGGGTGCGGGGTGAAAGGGGGTGGGGGTGCGGAAGGAAAGAGGGCGGAGGGGGGGGGCATGGGGGGAGGGGGTTATGAAGATATGGGAAAAGTATTTGAACATGTTCACATGACCTCTGTTGACAGAGGTTAGAGGAACATGAATGAGTGGTAAAGCAGTGTGATAGTAAAGGTAATTGTAGAAGCATGGATGGGCTTACAGTACCTAAAAGGGATGATGGAGAGGACAGGCAGAATGAAAGGACTTCGCATCTTACATGTTTTTTTATTAGAGCTATCACATCGGTATCTTCTTTGATTCTGCATTCTTAATATAATCGAATATACCGAGTGCGATTGTTGAGGTGTCTCAGCCTGATCCCCCCCATTTGTTGTCTTCTGCCTACCTGGTGTTATTATGCAGGAATGTGCTCTAAGCCTATTGTGCAGGGAACAGGCTCTCTAAGCAGTTTCACACCTGGCCAAATATTTGCTATCCAGCCGTAGCGTTGTCTGCTCACCGTAGATTTTGATTTTAGGTTGTGGAGAACAGTACTCTATTTTTGTCTTAGTAGTTTGTCTGTCACTTTTGCTAGTTTCCCGGTTTTGCTGCATTATTTCCTCACTTCAGGTTTCAGCCTTCCTGACTCCTGCCCAAGTTCCAGTACTAGTAATTTTCTGTAGAGCAGATTCTCCAGGACATCTTTCAGGCGCAATGCGTTCATAAATCAATGTGGCAGGGTCTAGGTGCATGGCCTGGTTGTGCTTCCGGAAGTACGCTACAGTAAAAGCACTTAAAAAGCACTTTTCTAATTGACGAATCACATCATGTCCAGGCTTCATTTAGAGCCACGTGCCCCGAGTACAGCCTCCCATTGGTCGATCTCAGCTCGTCGATGAGACGGTTCCAATTTGACGCCAGTGCGCCGACGAAATAATCCGCTTGCGTTGTGATGATGAGATTTGCGAAAATCTCCCCCGTGCGCTGCTTGTCGTTGACATGCTCCTCCTGCATCTGCGTTGCACTGGTCACTCGCCCGCTCGTCGTGTAGTGGAAGGTCCAATCCGGAAAGTTAGAAGTTTCCTCTATCGCACTCTGCCAGGGAGGGGGGACAGAAGAGGGGAGAGAAGGGGGGAGAGAACCCGTAGTTGGGGAATGGTGAAATGGAATGTCAATTCAAGTAAATCACACTCTGTAAAGGACCTGTAAGGGAGCTGCGGGAAGGGTCTCCCCCGTGCGCTGCTTGTCGTTGACATGCTCCTCCTGCATCTGCGTTGCACTGGTCACTCGCCCGCTCGTCGTGAAGTGGAAGGTCCAATCCGGAAAGTTAGACGTTTCCTCTCACACTCTGGGAGGGTGGGGGCAGGAGGGGGGAACAGGAGGGAGGACAGGAGGGGGGACAGGAGGTTGGAACAGGAGGGGGGAACAGGAGGGAGGACAGGAGGGGGGACAGGAGGGGGGAACAGGAGGGGGGAACAGGAGGGAGGACAGGAGGGGGGACAGGAGGGGGGAACAGGAGGGGGGACAGGAGGGGGGACAGACAGGAGGGGGGACAGGAGGGGGTACAAGAGGGGGGACAGGAGGGGGGAACAGGAGGGGGGACAGGAGGGGGGACAGACAGGAGGGGGGACAGGAGGGGGTACAAGAGGGGGGACAGGAGGGGGGACAGGAAGGGGGACAGGAGGGGGGACAGGAGGGGGGACAGGACTCTTTGTTGGGGAGTGTTGTTGAACGTTTCCTCAATCACACTTATATGCCCGTACCCCTTATAAGTAGCACCATTCACAGGCGCACCTGCATCTTTGTGCTGAGCCACACATGCTCCACATTCGGCACAAGCGCCCGCAACTTATAGCTCTAGCTCACCTGCATGAATAAACGTATACCCTTTATAAGCAGACCCGGAAGCTCACCTGCATCTCTCTGTGCTGAGTCACACGTGCTCCAGGTTCTGCACATGCGCCCGCAACTTGAAGCACTAGCTCACCTGCATGCATGACTGCACAACAATGTACCCCTTATAAGCAGACCCACAGGCTCACCTGTACACAGAAGCTCACCTGCATCTCTGTGCTGAGCCACACATGCTCCAAATTCGGCACGTGCGCCCCAATTGATAAGACTAGCTCACCTGCGCGAATAAACGTAACCCTTATAACCAGACCCACTGTCTCACCTGCATCTCTGTGCTGAGCCACACATGTTCCAGGTTCGGCACGTGCGCCCGCAACTTGAAGCAATACCTCATCTGCATGCATGACTGTACAATGTACACCTTATAAGCAGTTCCACTGGCTCACCTGCATCTCTGTGCTGAGCCACACATGCTCCAGGTTCGGCACGTGCGCCCGCAGCTTATACATAAAATACATATAAGTCGCGAAGAAGTGTAGCTTCATCTCGAGGTATTTATCGCTCAGCCGCACGTGCAGGCTGACATACGGCCGGAATATAAACGGTTCATCTTGTAACGAGGAAAACTCCACCGCCGCACCTCCCCCCGCATTCACACTCCCCGCTCCCGCACACGCCTCTGACTCATTACACCTCGTTCCCACACACCCCGCAAATCCCTTCATCTGCCATACAGTCCCAGCTAGGCTCGACTTGTATGCGACAGAAGGGGGAACAGCAGAAGAGGCGTCTGGGAGAGAGTTCAAGTGCTGGGATTCCGGAGTGTTGGGGGGTGTGGAGTGGAGTATGGACTGCTGCTTGGCTGTAGCGGCTACAACCCGCTCTGCTACAGCCATCCCGTAGGTGTTGTGGCGCACGCGGTTGGTGATGTGGCAGAGGAGAGCCGAGGGCCAGCGCATGAGGAACCGGGCAGTTTGGGACCGCCACCAACGCTCCTGGGGAGGAGAGGGGGAAGGAGAGGGGGAAAGGGGCAAAAGGTCAAATGCGGTTGGTGATGTGGCAGAGGAGGGCTGAGGGCCAACGCATGAGAAACCAAGCGGTTTGGGACCGTCACCAACGCTCCTGTCAAACGAAGAAAAGGGAGAGGGGATGGGAGGGGGGAGTGGGTGTGGGGAAGAGCAACGGGAGACATGCGGTTGGTGATTGGCAGGGGGAATAGGGCCAACGTGGGAGGGACAAACAAACCAAGCAGAGTCTGTAGCGGCCACAACCAGCTCTGCTACAGCCATCCCGTAGGTGTAGAGCAGGGCTGAGGGCCAGCGAATCATATCCCCCCAAGGTCATCAGAGCAGATCCGCCCTGCTATCAAGCACCTTGGGATGTGGCAGAGAAGCATATCATCCCAAGATGCTGGCCATGTGATAAAAGTGTAGTTTTGAGACGTCTCAAAATGCTATCGAGCACCTTGGCATGTGGCAGAGAACCGTATCATCCCAAGATGTTCGATAGTGCATGGCTGCTTGCTGCTCACCCCAATGTGCCGCTCACCCCAACATGCTGCTCACCCCAATGTGGTTGTCGTTGGGCGGCCAGATCTTCCCCAGCTGCTCAATCGTGAATGGATGCTCGGTGCAGTGACTAACATGTGCCATGTGACAACCCTAGCGTACTCTAGTATGTGCGCACATGACAGTGTGCTCACCCCAACCTGCTGCTCACCCCAACCTGCTGCTCACCCCAATGTGGTTGTCGTTGGGCACCCAGATTCTCCCCAGCTGCTCGATCGTAAACGGATGCTCGGTGCAGTGACTAACAGTGTACTCTAGTATGTGACAACCCTAGCGTACTCTAGTATGTGACAACCCTAGCGTACTCTAGTATGTGACAACCCTAGCGTACTCTAGTATGTGCGCACATGACAGTGTGCTCACCCCAACCTTCTGCTCACCCCAACCTGCTGCTCACCCCAATGTGGTTGTCGTTGGGCACCCAGATTCTCCCCAGCTGCTCGATCGTAAACGGATGCTCGGTGCAGTGACTAACAGTGTACTCTAGTATGTGACAACCCTAGCGTACTCTAGTATGTGACAACCCTAGCGTACTCTAGTATGTGACAACCCTAGCGTACTCTAGCATGTGCGCACATGACAGTGTGCTCACCCCAACCTTCTGCTCACCCCAACCTGCTGCTCACCCCAATGTGGTTGTCGTTGGGCACCCAGATTCTCCCCAGCTGCTCGATCGTAAACGGATGCTCGGTGCAGTGACTAACAGTGTACTCTAGTATGTGACAACCCTAGCGTACTCTAGTATGTGACAACCCTAGCGTACTCTAGTATGTGACAGCCCTAGCGTACTCTAGTATGTGACAACCCTAGCGTACTCTAGTATGTGACAACCCTAGCATACTCTAGTATGTGCGCACATGACAGTGTGCTCACCCCAACCTTCTGCTCACCCCAACCTGCTGCTCACCCCAATGTGGTTGTCGTTGGGCACCCAGATTCTCCCCAGCTGCTCAATCGTGAACGGATGCTCGGTGCAGTGACTAACAGTGTACTCTAGTATGTGACAACCCTAGCGTACTCTAGTATGTGACAACCCTAGCGTACTCTAGTATGTGACAACCCTAGCGTACTCTAGTATGTGCGCACATGACAGTGTGCTCACCCCAACCTTCTGCTCACCCCAACCTGCTGCTCACCCCAATGTGGTTGTCGTTGGGCACCCAGATTCTCCCCAGCTGCTCGATCGTAAACGGATGCTCGGTGCAGTGACTAACAGTGTACTCTAGTATGTGACAACCCTAGCGTACTCTAGTATGTGACAACCCTAGCGTACTCTAGTATGTGACAACCCTAGCATACTCTAGTATGTGCGCACATGACAGTGTGCTCACCCCAACCTTCTGCTCACCCCAACCTGCTGCTCACCCCAATGTGGTTGTCGTTGGGCACCCAGATTCTCCCCAGCTGCTCAATCGTGAACGGATGCTCGGTGCAGTGACTAACAGTGTACTCTAGTATGTGACAACCCTAGCGTACTCTAGTATGTGACAACCCTAGCGTACTCTAGTATGTGACAACCCTAGCGTACTCTAGTATGTGCGCACATGACAGTGTGCTCACCCCAACCTTCTGCTCACCCCAACCTGCTGCTCATCCCAATGTGGTTGTCGTTGGGCACCCAGATTCTCCCCAGCTGCTCGATCGTGAACGGATGCTCGGTGCAGTGACTAACAGTGTACTCTAGTATGTGACAACCCTAGCGTACTCTAGTATGTGACAACCCTAGCGTACTCTAGTATGTGACAACCCTAGCGTACTCTAGTATGTGACAACCCTAGCGTACTCTAGTATGTGCGCACATGACAGTGTGCTCACCCCAACCTTCTGCTCACCCCAACCTGCTGCTCACCCCAATGTGGTTGTCGTTGGGCACCCAGATTCTCCCCAGCTGCTCGATCGTGAACGGATGCTCGGTGCAGTGACTAACAGTGTACTCTAGTATGTGACAACCCTAGCGTACTCTAGTATGTGACAACCCTAGCGTACTCTAGTATGTGACAACCCTAGCGTACTCTAGTATGTGCGCACATGACAGTGTGCTCACCCCAACCTTCTGCTCACCCCAACCTGCTGCTCACCCCAATGTGGTTGTCGTTGGGCACCCAGATTCTCCCCAGCTGCTCGATCGTGAACGGATGCTCCAGCTCAGGCGGTTTGCCATCAGGAGCCACCCAGAGGCTGGTGGGGTGAGGGAACAAAGAGGAGAAGGTGTGGAGAGAAGCAGGAGGGAGGAAGCTTCTTGGCTGGGAAAGGATGCTCCAGTTTGGGCGGTTTGCCGTCAGGCGCCACCCAGAGGCTGGTGGGGTGAGGGGACGACATTGAAGGAAGAGGGAGATGAGAGGGACGAGAGGGACGAGAGGGTGTGGGACGAGTGTGCTTGATGGTGAACGGATGCTCCAGCTCGGGCGGTCTGCCGTCAGGCGCCACCCAGAGGCTGGTGGGGCGAGAACACAAAGAGAAGAGATGGTGTGGAGAGGGAAGGGAAGGTGTGGAGAGGGAATTGAGGGGAAGGTCCTTGATGGTGAACGGATGCTCCAGCTCGGGCGGTCTGCCGTCAGGCGCCACCCAGAGGCTGGTGGGGCGAGAACACAAAGAGAAGAGATGGTGTGGAGAGGGAAGGGAAGGTGTGGAGAGGGAATTGAGGGGAAGGTCCTTGATGGTGAACGGATGCTCCAGCTCGGGCGGTCTGCCGTCAGGCGCCACCCAGAGGCTGGTGGGGCGAGAACACAAAGAGAAGAGATGGTGTGGAGAGGGAAGGGAAGGTGTGGAGAGGGAATTGAGGGGAAGGTCCTTGATGGTGAACGGATGCTCCAGCTCGGGCGGTCTGCCGTCAGGCGCCACCCAGAGGCTGGTGGGGCGAGAACACAAAGAGAAGAGATGGTGTGGAGAGGGAAGGGAAGGTGTGGAGAGGGAATTGAGGGGAAGGTTCTTGATGGTGAACGGATGCTCCAGCTCGGGCGGTCTGCCGTCAGGCGCCACCCAGAGGCTGCAAGAGTGAGTGAGGGGATGACAAGGAGGAGAGGAAAAAGAGGGTGTGGAGTGGAGAGAAGCAGGGAAGAGAAAATTCCTCGATTGTGAAAGGATGCTCCAGATCTGGCAGCTCTGGGTATCGTTACAAATGACCACTTGAGTAGCCGAAGCCAGCACCGTCTCCTTGGTATCGTTGAACAGAGCAATGGGCGCTGCTGCTTCTGCTGCTTCTTGGTCTACCACCACATGAGGAGAGGAGCAGGATTCAGAGATAGAGAGAGATAGGAGCACAGCACACACCTGGCAGCTCTGGCGGCGTCGTGGTGGTAGTGCGTGTCATTACAAATGACCACTTGAGTCGCCGATGCCAGCACCGTCTCTTTGGTGTCGCTGAACAGAGCGATTGGCGCTGCTGCTTCTGCTGCTAGCACTTGTGTCCACAACAGTGAACACTAAGTCACCCACTCACAGTCTCCCACCCACCCACCTGGCAGCCCTGGCGGCGTCGTGGTGGTAGTGCGTGTCGTTGCAGATCACCACTTGATTAGCCGATGCCAGCACCGTCTCTTTGGTATCATTGAACAGCGCCATGGGTGCTGCTGCCTCTTGGGCTGCCAGCACACAAGCACTCACTCACCTACTCCCCCACTCACTCGCTCGCACCCACCTGGCAGCCCTAGCAGCGTCGTGGTGGTAGTGCGTGTCGTTGCAGATCACCACTTGAGTAGCCGATGCCAGCACCGTCTCTTTGGTATCATTGAACAGCGCGATTGGCGCTGCTGCCTCGGCTGCCAGTGCGACCTTGAGGCAGTCTGGGGAGGCGACGGGGAAGAAGTAGCACTCCCACTCGCCCTCCTGCCCTATGTCTGTCGTGTGGAGTGGAAATAGGGAGGGTAAGGGGGGGACAGGAGGACTGTGGTGAAGAGAGCAATGGGTGCTGCTGCTGCTTTGGCTGCCAGGGCGAGCTTGAGGCAGTCTGGGGAGGCGACGGGGAAGAAGTAGCACTCCCACTCGCCCTCCTGCCCTATGTCTGTCGTGTGGAGTGGAAATAGGGAGGGTAAGGGGGGGACAGGAGGACTGTGGTGAAGAGAGCAATGGGTGCTGCTGCTGCTTTGGCTGCCAGGGCGAGCTTGAGGCAGTCTGGGGAGGCGACGGGGAAGAAGTAGCACTCCCACTCGCCCTCCTGCCCTATGTCTGTCGTGTGGAGTGGAAATAGGGAGGTTAAGTTAAGGGGGAGACAGAGGATGGGGGAGTGTGGGGGAACAGGGCAATGGGCGCTGCTGACTCTGCTGCCAGGGCGAGCTTGAGGCAGTCTGGGGAGGCGACGGGGAAGAAGTAGCACTCCCACTCGCCCTCCTGCCCAATGTCTGGGGTACGCATGGGGAAAGGGGCAAGGGGAAAAGCATGGGTAACTAGAAGAAGTAGCAGGGGAGCGCTTCGTTAGTCTACTCAAACACTTCGTTGAGGAGGGTTTGATGTGATGTGTGGTTGAACAGGGCGATGGGTGCTGCTTGAAGGGCGCTGTGGGGAGTGTTTTGTCGGGGTGCTTGGTGTGCTGATTCCCTTCGTACAACATACCCCATCTGTATCCAAACAAACCCCCCCTTCCCAACTTAGCACTCTTGCACACTGGCGCGGTGGAAGGTGCGAGGACGGACAACGAGCGTCCTGTTGTGCCGCACAGCCATTCCCTTCCTTATACTCCCCACCTGTCCTGTACCCACCCACACCTTCCCCCCCCTTCCCACCTGAGCACTCCTGCCCGCTGGCGCGGTGGAAGGTGCGAGGGCGGATGACGAGCGTTCGATTGTGCCGCACAGCCGCGTTCAGAAACGATCCCATCACATGCCCCATGCTGCCGGTCCCGTGGTGCTTGCTTGGTGGTTCAGTGCTTGGGGGGTGGTGCTTGGGCGGTGCTTTAGGGGGTGTTTGGTGTGCTGATTCCCTTCCTAAAACACTCTGTCCCCCTACTCTACCCCCTCTCACCTGCGCACTCCTGCCCATCACATGCCCCATGCTGCCTGTCCCGTGGTGCTTGGGCGGCCAGTCGGTAATCATCAGCCGCCGCCCGGCACAGCTGGCGGGGAACTGCCGCTCCCACAGGTCCCGCTGGAAGACACGTGTCAGCGCGAGATTGGCCGCGTCAGAGCCGCGGATCTGGGGTTTCCCGGGAGGGGGTTGGGTGAAGAGGAGAAAGGGGAGTGGGGAAGGGAAGAGAGGGAGGGGTGAGGAGGGGAAGAGGGGGTGAGCACTGTGCAATGCGCTCGATTCTAACAATACCATCTCAATAGACGTGTGATGAGTCGACTCAAAGATCGACTCATCACACGCACTGTGCAATGCGCTCGATTCTAACAATACCATCTCAATAGAAACAACTCACCCAGGGAGGCTGGGGCGTGCAGTTGCAGCACCTGCCCGGTCGCACCCACTCAGGGTCCTCCCCGTGCGCCCCCCTCGCCTCTGCCTTCACCCTCAGAGCCGTCTTGGCCGTGCAGTCCCTTCTAGGGCGGGCACGTTGTGAATCATTTATAAGGCACAAACACACTCACCCAAGGCGGCTGGGGCGTGCAGTTGCAGCACTTGCCCGGTCGCACCCACTCAGGGTCCTCCCCATGCGGCCCCCTCGCCTCTGCCTTCACCCTCAGAGCAGTCTTGGCGGTGCAGTCTTCCAGGTGGGGCGCCGGAGGGACGTCCGGGGGGAAGGAGAGCGGCGCGGGGGAGCGCGTGGTGTCGTCTGCTAGGTTATAAACTTTGGTCCAGGACTGTGGAAGGGTAGGAAGGGATGGGGAGGGGTGGGGAGGGTGGGGAGGGTGGGAAAGGGTGGGAAAGGGTGGGGAGGAGTTATAATGCAGTGTCGCCTCTGCCTTCACCCGTAAAGCGGTCTTGGCGGTGCAGTCCTCTAGGTGGGGCGCTGGAGGGACGTCTGGGGGAAAGGAGAGCGGCGAAGGCGAGCGAGTGGTGTCGTCTGCTAGATTATAGACTTTAGTCCACGCCTGGGAAGGGAAGGGGAGAGGGGTGGGGTGGGATGGGGATGGGGGCAGGCGAGTTGTGGAAATGGGGAAGGGGAGCGGGGAGGAGAGCGGGGAGGGGGAGCGAGTGGTGTCTGACAGCCAGGTTATAGACCTTAGTCCGCGCCTGTGGTGGAGAAGGGGAAGGGGGGTGAAGAGGGAGGGGTGGGGGAGGGGGAAACGGGGAAGTGGGGGTGGAAGGGGGAAGGGAGAAGGCGGATGAGTGGAAAAGATGTTTTACTGGTGCAATCATTTAAGTGAGGCAACATCGTCCCCCTATCCCCCCCAGACCATCGTCCCCCCATCCCCCAGCCCGTCGCCCCCCCATCCCCCAGCGTAGGGCCCTACCTCGTGAAGGCGCTTCGCAGTTTCCGCTAATTCCGGGCTGATCTGCGGCATGCCTTGTCCCGCGGGGATCGCGGCGCCAAGCACGGTAAGTGCCAAGAGCGGGACGACCCATCTGCAGCAACCCATCCGCGATATAGTGTGTCCGGTGAAAGGGACGGATTTGTTACTTCTTCCTTGGGAGTCTTGGAATGTGCCACGGGAACTGGTAGAAGGTCGCGTGTATAGATTCTAACGACAACGGTAGAAGGTCGCGCCTGAGACACGTGTCGGCAACGACAACGGCGTCACGATTCTAGGCAGGCTACTGCTGCTGGGATTCTCCGAGCTTCGCGAACTTCGCAAGTCTCGCGGAACTTAGCAGTCGTCTGGTGGACATCACAATTTGGGGAAAGACCAGGTTGACGATTGTCCTAGTGATCCTATTGACCTGGTGAAATGACTTGGTTGGTACGCATAATAATAGGAAACACGATCTTTTGAGGCTGTGTCAGGACTCGGAAACTGTAGATGGGTCTGAGGAATCTGTGAGCGGGAAATGCGGGCGCGTACGCGATACAAGCCGACTCGGTCAGTCGACCAATCCAGTGAGAGGAGATGGTTGGTTTGGTCATGGAACTCCCAAGGCTTGTAAAGTTCAAAGGGGGGAAAACTCGATAACAAGAGTTCCTTTGCACAACGGTACAGTGAGATCCACAATCTATTACGTGTAATACATTTCGCTATCTCCAGGATCAACAGATCTGGAGACGTTTTCAAACCGTTCGCAGGCGAGTCTTCGTCACAAATACTGACACTTATTTTTGCAAAGAGTACCGAAATTCCCATAATGATTCGGCTCTCAGCCCACAAGTGGATCGAAATTTCAACTCCGAAAAGCACTCGGGCACACTGCACACGCCCTCATTGACCTCTCTGTTCTTCCAAAAATAATCTCGAGGGCGGATTTGAAACCTCTGGGCTCATTTGCTGGGAGTCTTTGACTAACAGACTACCGATTTATAAATGCGACACATTTCGTGTACGGGCTACGGGTGCTCGGGTTCCTGAGGACAATAAATCACGATCATAAGCTTGTCGTGATTTCGAGGCAGATTTTGTCGAGAACTCCCACATTGGGACAATGAGTGCAAGCCTGAGGATGCATAGCTCTCTGTCCGCGCGTACACTCTATCCCCGATACAAACCAAACGACACCCTCAACGCGTCCAACCTTTCGTCTCTTCAAACTCGAACCCTCTTCGCAAGCATTTCGCAAAAACCATCCCTCCGCCTCCGTCTCCGGTCCCCTTCCCCCGCGCTCGTCACCGCGCAAGCGGGGAAGGGCTTTGGAAAGAAGCCGGCGGCCAGCAGTAAGGCGAAGCCGGCCGGCAGCAGCGCCGGCAGCAGCAAATTGCTGGATGAGCTTGGCGCCGCTAGCACTTCAGTAACTGCACCGTCGGGAAAAGCGGCTGTTGCGGGGGCGGAAGCGGCGGATGCGGCGGTGTGTCCGTGCGGGGGGAGCGGGGAGGGGGAGAAGCGCGCATACAAGGAGTGCTGCGCGCGGTACCATGGCGGGGTGAAGGAACCCGACGCTGTTTCCCTAATGAGTGAGTTGTAACTCGTGTGCGTAACATGGTAACCATTGTGGTACCGTGGGGTGAGGGGGTGAAGCGCGCATAGGACAAATTCTGCGTGCGGTACCATGGGGGGGTGAAGGATCCAGACGCTGTTTCCCTCATGAGTGAGTACACTGAAATTATGATTACCAGAATCCTTCTGTGTAACATGGTAACCATTGCAGTACCATGGGGGGATGAAGGAACCAGCTGATGTTTCCCTCATGAGTGAGTCCCATTCACTTGGTGGTAACCATAATCTTTGTGCGTAACATGGTAATCATTACGGTACCATGGGGGGATGTAGGAATCAGACGTTGTTTCCTTCGTGAGTGAGTACACTGAAATGATGTTTACCAGAATTTTTGTTTTGTGTAACATGGTAACCATTGCGGTACCATGGGGGGCTGAAGGAACCACACGCTGTTTCCCTCATAAATGAGTACACTGAATTGATGGTTACCAGAATAATCATGGGAAACATGGTAACCATTGTGGTACTATGGGGGGTGAAGGAACCAGACGCCTTTCCTTTGATGGTTACCTCTGTGAATGTATTCGATCCCTTTCTCTCCCTTTCCAGAGGCGCGCTATACAGCCTTTGCCAGGGGTGTGATTCCCTACATCGTGCGCACAACACATGGGGACAACCCCAACATGGGATGGCACCCGGGGGTGCAGAGGGGCGTGCAGAACACCAATCCTGAACTCTTCTCTGCCCTTTCCATTTTCTCCCTTTCCAGAGGCGCGCTATACAGCCTTTGCCAGGGGTGTGATTCCCTACATCGTGCGCACAACACATGAAGACAACCCCAACATGGCACCCGGGGGAGCAGAGGGGCGCAAGAAGCTGACTGCTGATTGCGAGGAGACGTGCAAGCGGCTGGTCTTCAAACGCCTCAAGATTCTTTCAACAGAGGCAGGAGAGAGCGATGATGTGAGTGTAGAGGGTGTGACAGTAACAGTGTGATTGTTGTATCGTAGTGCACGTCATAGCTCGTGAGGAGACATGAAAGTGGCTGGTGTTTAAGAGAGGTGGCTTTTGAGTTGGCTCAAACAGCCCACCCGGGGGAGCGGAGGGGCGCAAGAAGCTGACTGCAGACTGCGAGGAGACGTGCAAGCGGCTGGTCTTCAAACGCCTGGAGACAGGCGAGAATGACGATGTGAGTGTTGCAGTGTGATTGTAGCAGCGTGCGTATCACAGAATGCGAGGAGACGTGCAAGCGGCTGGTCTTCAAACGCCTGGAGATCCTTTCGACTGAGGCAGGCGAGAATGACGATGTGAGTGCAGGGGTGTGTGTGAGGGCAATGGTGTGAGTGTAGCATTGTGATTGTTTGTAACAGGTTCTATGTCAAGCTTGCGAGGAGACGTGCAAGCGGCTGGTGTTCAAACGCCTCAAGATTCTTCCAACAGAGGCAGGCGAGAATGACGATGTGAGTGCAGGAGGCACTGGTGTGTGTGAGTGTAGCATTGAGATAGTAGTAGCAGGGTGTGGCATTGTAGCAAAGTGCATGCAATCTGCTAGGAGACGTGCAAGTGGCTGGTGTTCAATTCAAACGCCTGGAGATCCTGTCCCCACGATCCCGCTTCCCTCCTCATTTCCCCAATTCACAGGAATCTTTCGTCTCCTTCCGAGCAGTCTACACCTACCTACAAGCACGGCACCACCACCGACAACCAGATCTTAGTCGAGAAGTCCCGCTTCGTGCGCGACCCAGACACAGGCCGGTGGCTGTACCGCGAGAAAACCCCCCTAGACGCTCTACCTGACTCCCCTTCCCCCCCTTCCTTTATCCCCCCACCCCCTACCCCATGCCCTTTTTGTCTTCTCCTTCTGTCACAGGAGTCGTTTGTCTCATTTCGTGCAGTCTACGCGTACAAGCACGGCACCACCACCGACATTCAGATCCTAGTCGAGAAGTCCCGCTTCGTGCGCGACCCAGAGTCAGGCCGGTGGCTGTACCGCGAGAAAGTACCCACTCTCGTTCCCCATTCCCCCCCTTCCCCCCTCTCACAGGAATCATTTGTCTCATTTCGTGCAGTCTACGCCTACAAGCACGGCACCACCACCGACAATCAAATCCTAGTCGAGAAATCCCGTTTCCTGCGCGACCCAGAGTCAGGCCGGTGGCTGTACCGTGAAAAGATTCCTCTGGACGCGGCTTCAGAGGCGGCGTGGCGGCTGGGTCCCGCTCTGGTAGAGCAGGAGCAGCAGGCGGGAGGGAGGAAGTCATATGTCATGCGAGGAGCAGCACAGCCGAAGCTGCGGCCGAGATCAAGCTAGGTGGGTATTCCCGTCAGCAGGGCCCAGCCCACGTAGAGCAGCAGGCGGGGGGGAGGAAGTCGTATGTCATGCTAGGGGCAGCACAGCCAAAGCTACGGCCCAGGTCCAGTTAGCAGCTCGTTCCAGTCAGCAGCAGGGCTTCAGAGGCAGCGTGGCGGCTGGGCCCATCACTGGTAGAGCAGGAACAAGGGGGACAAGGAGGGAGGAAGTCGTATGTGATGCGCGGGGCAGCGCAGCCGAAGCTGCGGCCCAGATCGAGTTAGGTGGAAGCCTTGTTACTCATCAACCACAAGACCTCCCTAGACTCAGCTTCAGAGGCGGCATGGAGGCTGGGCCCAGCCTTGGTAGAGCAGGAGCTAGGGGGACAAGGAGGGAGGAAGTCGTATGTGATGCGAGGGGTAGCACAGCCAAAACTACGACCCAGGTCAAGCTAGTTAGAAGTCGCAGCTTCAGAGGCGGCATGGCGGCTGGGCCCAGCTCTGGTAGAGCAGGAGCAGTAGGCGGGGGGAGGGGGGGGGGAGGAAGTTGTATGTCATGCGAGGGGCAGCGCAGTCAAAACTACGAACCAGATCAAGTTAAACAATTATCTTTAGTGGTTCAAAATCGTGTTGAAACGCTTGGTTTTATCGACAGGGTTCCTATGTGCATACATGGCTGCTCTGTCTAAATTCTGGGGGTTGGTTTTTATAATTTGTTTTGCCTATTTGTAATTTGTTTATCATGAACCAGCATCCTGCTATAGCTCAGTTGGTAGAGCGGAGGACTGTAGTTTAGAGTAGAGGATCGCACGATGCTGCCGGATGCAATTCCAGATGTCACTTGCATAGACCCCTGCGCCGGGATCAAATGGGCTTTGGATGTGTCAGTAACGGACCCACAGCTACCCACAGCTGCCGTTAGATTTTGTTTACCGCCGCATACGGTAATGGTCTGTGCTTTACCATGACATGTGCTAATTTCACCCGTGTGTTTCGCCCTCTCTCCCACGTCTCACAGATGTCGCGGAGCAGTGCAAGAGTATTTGGCAGTTCGTCCGAGACAAGCGACGCGAACGCGGCATCAAGACCACGTGGATCATCAACACCGACCAGCTGGAGATGCCCGCCACCACGACCGTTGAGCAAGCGGGCGTTCGCTCGGTGCCCATCAGGTGTGCCGGTTACCAGAAGGAGCGCGTGACAGTGATGCTGGCCTGCACGGCGGACGGCGCCAGGCTCAAGCCGTGGGTTTTTTCCAAGAGGAAGACGTTGCCGAAGGGCGACTTTACGCCTGGTAAGTGGTGTTTGTTTGATGTCTGTCGCACACGTTTTTTGTTTACCGTTTCATTAATCTCTTGTTTCTCATCCCGATGTGTATTGTGCAGATGTGGTCGTGGCGTGCCACGAGAACGGGTGGATGGACTCCGCGGGCGTCATTCGCTGGCTCGACGAGTGTGTCAAGCCGTTCCTGAAGCCGTCTTTCGGTCGGCACTCCAGGAGCTCCATGCTGGTTCTGGATTCATATCGCGGGCACCTCACCGAGGGGGTGAAGGAGAAGTTACGCGAGATGAACTGCGTGCCGGCGATCATCCCGTCGGGTTGTACGGGGGAGATTCAGCCCCTGGACGTCTCTGTCAACAAGAGCTTCAAGGCCTCCGTCCGTCAGCAGTACCAGAAGTGGTTTCAAGAGGAGGGGCAAGAACAGCTGACAAAAGCAGGTACGGAATTAAAGAAGTCGCCACCTGACAACAGCTGACAAACAGCCGACAAACAGCCGTCGGTTCTTTCTCTACTCACCATCGTCCCTTATTTGTTGTTTCAGGGAATCTCAAGAAGCCGCCACCTGCAGTGGTCCTGAGGTGGATCTCGCGGGCCTGGAGGGCAGTGCCTGCCGTGTCAAACTTATATGCTGCTTATTGTGTAGGCTGTAGTGGGGTAGCCCATATGGGGTACAACCCAATTAGGGTTAGCACTTGTACCCATCCTGCTGTTAATCAATTCATCCTCGTTTGTAATTCTGACATGGTTTCAGAGCAGGTCCTAGCGTAGGACCGTTTCGTTAGGGCCCACCAAGTAGCGCTACCCCACCCGTCACGCTGCCGTGATCGCGTCGCCCTGCCCTGCCCTGCCTGCGCACGCCCTGCCCTGCCGTGATCGCGCTGCCTGCGCACGCCCCACCCGTCACGCCGCCGTGATCGCGCTGCCTGCGCACGCCTTGCCCTGCCCGCGCGCCGCCCGCCGCAGCGCGCTCTGCTTTGCCCACGCGCCGCCCGCTGAAGCGCGCCCTATTTGCCCACGCGCCCTGCTGACCCGCGCGCCCTGCTCTGCCCGCGCGCCGCGCCGCCGCTTACCGCAGCGTGCCCTGCCCTGCCCGCGCGCAGCGCCGCCGCGTCGCCCTGCCCGCGCGCTGCCCGCCGTCGTGCGCCCTGCCCTACCCGCGCACCGCCTGTCGCAGCGCGCCCTGCCCTGCCTGCGCGCCGCCCGCCGCCGAGCGCCCTGCCCTGCCCGCGCGACGCGCCGCCGAGCGCACTGCCCTGCCCGCGCGCCGCGCAGCCGCGCGCCCTGCCCTGCCCGCGCGCCGCGCCGCCGCGCGCCCTGCCCTGCCCGCACGCCCCGCCGCTGCGCGCCCTGCCCTACCCGCGCACCGCTCCGCCGCGAGCCCTGCCCTGCCCGCGCGCCGCGCCGCCGCGCACCCTGCCCTGCCGCGCGCCCTGCCCTGACGTGCGCCGCTCACTGCTGCGCCGCCCTGCCTTGCCTTGCCTGCGCGCTGCCCTGCTGCTAGCGCGCTCGCCTGCCTAGCCCTGCCTGCGTGCTGCTCTGCTGCTTGTGCGCCCGACCGCTCTGCCCGCTATGGCCACGCTCAGTGTCCTCACGTTCGATCCGGAGGGCCGCCCGATAGAGTTCGATGCGTGGCTCGACAACTTACAGCTATTCTTACTGAGCATTACAAGGACGGAGTTTCACTGTTTGACCTCACTTCTGGCGCCTCTGTCGCCCCTGCCACCACAGCTGACAGTGTAGTTCGCTCACAGTGACCTACTCGTGACGCTACTACTCGTTTAGCCGTTCGCAACCACCTGCCGTTAGCCGAACGCACTCACTTCGGACAGCACAAGACTGCGAAAGCACTGTACGACGCTGTAGTCGCTCGTTATTCCTCCCCGTCCACTGCTGCTCTAGGCCGCCTTCTCCTGCCCTACCTGTTTCCAGATCTGTCCGCCTTTGCCACAGTAGCCAACCTCGTCACTCACCTTCGCACTAGTGACACTCGCTACCGTACTGCGCTTCCTGCCGAGTTTCTCACCAAGAACCCTCCTCCCATGTACATCTCTCTCTATTTCATAGTCACCCGTCTCCCTGACTCTCTTAGCGCAGTCAGGAACCTCCTTCTCGCCCTTGACCCCACCACCCTCACTGACGACCTGCTCGAGAAGCACCTCCTTGCAGCTAAGACTAGCATAGTCGCTGTAGGCGCTTCTCGTGGCACTCCTCGCACTCCCTTCTTTGAGGGGTGTTCGCCCTCCCCCCTTCTCCCCTCAGTCGCCTCTGCTGCAGCTGTTGACTACCTTCGTGCTGAGGAGGTAGGAGCTGCGTCTGCCCCTAGTGGGAGGCGCCGCAGCGGCAGGGGCAGGGGAGGCAGGGGCGGTGGGGGCGGCAAAGGTGGAGGCGGAGGTGGAGGCGGTGGAGGCGGTGGAGGCGGTGGGCGGCGGTGGCGGAGGGAGTGGTGGTGGGGGTGGAGATGTAGGTGGCGGCGGTGGTGGCGGCAGTGGCGGCAGTGGCGGCGGCAGTGGTGGCGGCAGTGGGAGTGGAGGCGGCGGCAGTGGTGGCGGCCGGGGTGGTACCAGTCAGAGGGGAGGCCTTGGCGGTGGTCAGAGGCAGCAGCAGCAGCGCCAGCTTTCGCCCCAGGAGCTACGTGAGTGGTTTGCTCAGCGTGGGGCGGCTGGGGGTAGTGGTCCCTGCCCGTATGTCATTCGCACAGGTGACCGCACTGGTCAGACATGCGGGAGGCTCCACACCCAGTACCGCTGCTTCTCTTGTCTTACCGACGCCTTCCGCACAGAGTTTCCCCACGCGGCTGAGCTCCCCCGCTGGGCAGAGCTGCTTAAGCAGGGTGTAGACATCTTTGCTCTTGATTATGCTGCTATCCTTTCTGCCATGTATGCATTGACTGTTAGTGCTGAGGGTGACTGTTGCCTGTGTATGCCGCCAGACCCAGGTATAGAGGCTGCTGCTCTAGGTGCTGGTGAGTCTGCTCTCTCTGGTACTGAGTCTGTTGCGGCCCTGCACACCTTCACGCTTGACTCAGGTGCTTCCCGCTATTTCTTTCGCGACAGTACCACAGTCACACCGCTCTCTGCACCTGTTGCTGTCTCTCTAGCTGACCCCTCTGGGGGCCCAGTCCTTGCACGTTCCTCCACTGTTCTGCCTTGTCCGGCGGTTCCGTCTGGCTCACTGTCAGGTCTCCACCTCCCCTCGTTCTCTACGAACTTGGTGAGCAACGCCGTCCTACAGGATCAGTAGGTTGATACCTTCACCCCTGGAGGACAGCGTGTGGCGATCTGTACGTGCTCCCGGACTGGCAGGCACCTGGCCACGTTCACCCGTCGGCCTGGGTCGAGTCTGTACACACTGACTACTGTGCCTCCTCAGGTAGCTGCGTCTGCGTCTGCGTCAGGTCAGCTAACGGCCCCCTGCTCGTGTCGCGCCCTGTCGCACCAGACGCTCCTTTGGCACCACCGCCTTGGTCACCCCTCAGTAGCACGCCTCCGTGGCATGCACTCCCGTCTCCTTGTCTCTGGTCTTCCCAGGTTTCTGCCTCCCCTCCCACCCTCGCCTGCCCCTCCCTGCATTCCCTGTGTTGAGGGGCGACAGCGCGCCGCTCCTCACTCCTCCTCGTTCCCCCCGACGACTGCTCCCCTGCAGACTCTCCACCTGGACGTGTGGGGCCCAGCCCGCGTCCGTGGACAGGGCCACGAGCGGTACTTTTTGCTGGTTGTCGACGACTACACGCGTTACACCACG